CCAAGCAGCTGCCGCGCCTATCCAGTTCACTGTCGATCAAGAGGCCCTCAAGGTTGAAGACTCTAATTCCGCCAGGTCAGGTACGCTGAAGAAGCGTGCCCCTCCTGGTAATTATGTATCTTCTCCATCCTCAGGTCTTTCTAGACCCGTATATTCCAAGCGGGATGACTCGAACAACAATCTAGCAGCGCCGCTAACTAATGGGATGCCGACGCCCAGCACCACTCCTCCCCCGGTCTCGGAGATCAAGGTAGCTCGACCCGTTGCATCAGCCAACAAGGCTGTACCGTTCAAAGCAGATATCGAAGAGGGCGATAGTCCCAAGGCTCTAGCTACCGAACCGGCAGAGAAGATCAGGGAGGAGGAACTCCCGGAGCCGGCCCTCGACGGCCAGAAGCCGAACCAAGATGAAGACAAAGAGGACAAGAGCAAAGAGCGCGAGTACGACATCTACGCCGATGCCGTCTTGGCTTGTAAGTTAAATTGATTAATTCTTATTTGGTAACACATTCTAATAATTACGCAGGCAGTATCGAGAACCCTGAGGCCTGTGTTATGTGCAGTGGCTAAAAGATTTCATGAGGACATGAGAATGATTATGACACGTAGTTGACGAGGGAATAATGGGAACTGGGTGGTTAATGACAGAGGTCTGCCTGGTTTGGACCGCAGAGAGAAACGTAATAAATGAAGATGTATCGATGCAGTTGCATCACGGTTGGGGTTCATAGGGTATTCATTTAGCTCTACATATGGGCTTGTATAACTATTTTCAATAGTTCTCCTGAGGAGTCGTATCTGGCGTTATTTCTTAACGCCCATCGCGCATTTGATTACGGCATGTCGCCGTTGCGATTCCAGGAATAAATCAATGAAGTTATTTAAAAAGGCATATTCTGTTACTGAGGTGTGTGATGTGTTAGGCGTTCGGGTGAGTCTATTACAATCACCCCCTAAGGCAATGCGTTGCCATTAATTCAGTGATCAAGACAACGCAATGCTCGAGAGAATCCTATTCGATGTATATTAAAGCCATCAATACATAAACGTACCTAATGAGAATATCTTACCTGCTAGACATAAAAGATCTAGGACTCGGCAGGGTTAGAATAGTATGCGGGAGTAGAATTAAGTACGGTTCCGATTATAGGGTGCTTGACACGCGTCCTACGACATGGGCAAGACATGGCAAAAACATCAGAGTTGGTGTCGTACACAATCCTCTATCACATTGAGGAGTATAGCTTGAGTAGCTAGGACCTTTTGTTCCCTTCCGAAAGATTACCTATACATGTGCCTCACCGACTATGATTATTTCGATAGCAGTTTAGGTCAGGTCATAGCAGTGTTTTCATGACGGGGGGAGAAAGACGCGCGGTTTGATCGACTCCAGCCACGTACATAACCTGCTGAGAAGTTTCGCCTGCGGCCACGGCAGGCCAGGCGGGTTTCGGTGAAACATATAGATGGGCAATGACAATATAGGTAGATGTTTGTTGCTCTGCCAATGACGGTAGTGGAGCCAATGGGAGATATATGCAGGAGATACTGAGCCTGAGAGGTGCGCACTACACTAGCGCCTCAGCCGTCTACGTAATAATACGGCCAAGGATTTTCTACTCGGGGACGAGATACATGGTGTGTGTGTATATGTGTGTCCAGCTGGTTCCTTGTCGTAGCACGAGACATCAACTTTTTCTCGAATGGGACAGATTTTTTTTTTGCAGCAGCTTGCTAACGTCTAGGGGGGCATTTTGTGTCCAGCGCAAGTCGCACCGGACGGTAGTGCAAATTTCCAGATGTTTCACTTTGCGAGGCTGTTTTCTTCCCGGCGATAATTTTTGGCTTCTTTGTCGCTACCTTGAAGATATCCGGCCAGGACGATTATAGCCGGGGAATTGCTAGGAAGTTGGGATGAAAGCCTATGTCCTATGTCCTAAGTGTAAAGAGGACTAAACGCGGATGGATTGTTTAGGACCATAACTTCCTACTAAGGTGCTGAGTCGTGCCACGACGGGAACTCGGTGAGACCGATTATCGACACTAGCAACGGTGAGAACCCGTTTAACATATGCCCAAAGTAACTAAGCCCAGTAGCTTGTTCATGTTAGTAATTGTAGGTGGTTAACCTAGAATACCTATTAATGCATCGAGTATTAAACCACAACGCCGGGACGCATCGAGACGGTTAGTTGTCGCTGGAGAAATGTGTCTGTTGTAACTTGATGTGACATCAACGGACAACTCATCAACATCGGCTGGGCCAATTTGATGGGGCCTCCCACTAGACAGGGTCTTTAATCTTGCTTTTTCTTTTCTTCTTGCAGGAAACGGGTGAGGTAGGTAGATTCACCTTCACCGATGAGAATTCTCAATTATTCGAATACAGATCTCATATTAAGTAGCCCTTCATACTCTTGACACTTATTTAGGTTAGCTACCTTCTTAAGAGAATTGAGTTGGTTCTTAGACTTGGACTAGGAACGTCCATGTTCTAAAAAACTTCTGATAATGGAGAGTCGAAAGTGGAGAATTGGACTGGGAAGTCAAAAATCATAGATGCAAGGCACGGTTGCAACTTTTGTTATTAGCTATGATTGATGTCATACCTTTTTTCAACCAATAAGATTAGATAAACCTGGTAACTAATCCATGCTTAGGATCCTGCCCCGCATGAGCTTTAATTCTTGTAAGTTGTGTCCAGACAATCTCCCCTAGTAAATCAATTGTGGGTCCACAGATCTTTCAATGATACCTCAAATCAGATGTTTTTAACAAGAACAAGGACAGCAACGCATACCTCTTGTTCATAACTTGAATATGACCCCTGATACATAGCAGAATATCTCGTATCCAGCCCAACCTCTTATATCTTTCAGATGATAATGCTACCTCTGGATAGATACAGCCAGGCGGTATCTTGTATGGCTATTGGAACGGCGCTCATACCGAAGCTTGGTCTACAATGCATTATATAATCAATATTACTAGCCAATCAAATCTCTAGATTGCCATGTCCAGCTGTCCATATGCAGTAATCGCCTTAATCGTAACCCTTGCAGATCATTTTCTTGGAGCTTCCTCCGCTTTGAATCAATCTATTTACTTTTCCTAGTCTCGATTTTCTTTCCAGAATTTTCTTGGTTGCTTCCACTAGATCAACAAGTTGGCATACATATGAGCATCATATTCAACATCTCATATCAGTTGTTGTTTGTTTATTACTACAACCATGTACCTATATGAGCTGGTTGGATATACATTAAAATCGGTAGACAATTGATCCAGAACATAAACCTAGACGGTTGTTTAGACAAATTCACAGAACATTACCAACCTCCGATTTTCTTTCTTGACGCTATACATTATATGATCTTCAACGCTAACTATATGCTATTTAAACATCGAATTTACTATTGTGTTTATTTCCCCAGTAGTCTAAGGCCTAGCATTACCAGATACAGTTTACAGAGATATTAGCCTTCCTTCTTTTAGTCAGATCCAAACTAAATACAGACGACTTAAAACAATTACAGCTCAGATAGAACCAGTAAATATTAATGAGCTCATCGTGTAGGGCATTTAGGTAGTTCCCACTCAATGATGCAACTCGGTATGGGCCGTCAAGTCCCATGCCAAGTATACTAAACGTACTTATTTACTGGACGATGCGGGCCAAGCTTACAACTTAGCACCTGCTATCGTTGATGCTGTCCTCGTTCATGCTAGCATCGACGATCAGCAACCGGATTTTTGGGAGCTACGCAACAATATTGGTGGATCAGGTACACGTTACGCTAGGCTTTCATTAGTATGATGTAGCCTCAAATCATCGCCTTCGGTACCTACATCTATGTATTTTTATATGTGGATACGGGTACCTTTTTTAATGCAGGTCTAGTGTAAAATACAATATATTTGGTGTTTGTGTACATGGAAAACTTGTTACCTGCATGTGGATCAGCTAGCCATGTTAGAATAAATCAGATTACTTGAGGAACTGGAGATGATACATTCATTAGTATTCAATAGGATCAATTTTCATGTATGACTTAACCTCTCTGGCCGATTAATTATTTAATTGCCTTGGTAACCGACCATCTGCACTTTCCTTCTCCGTAGCTCCTTCACAATTTTCACGTCCCACGTGTAAGAAAGAATCATCAAGCAATCAAGCAACAAGTTTCCAAATATTAAAGCTTGAAACAGCTGCCTTCCTTCCAACTTTCTTCCTCTTTCACCACCGAGATTCAACACCAAAGTCGAAAGATACAAGTTGTGATAGCCTCAATTTGTGAGCTCTCGCCTACCTGTGTCTTGCTCTATCTCTCCTGGTAAGTAATTATTTCCCTTCTCTGTCAACACCAAGTTTGCATTATTGTCCCTACACATTTGCGCACGTATATACACCTCCTTGTTGCCTGCTCCCAAACCATTACCTATTATTACCTTGTCGATGCGTGTTACCTTACACATTTTTACCAACCCTTTCCCTTCACTTTCCAATTTAATCACCTTTCATCACCTTTCATTCTCTGCTCCTCCGTTTCGCGTCTTACATCGCACAAGTACATACACAACCTAAGGAAATTACCTCCTTGAAGGACAATTCAGGTGCGCTTTCCTCTCTGGTTAGATACCTACTATTGTATCGTACCTGCCTTCTTGTAACTGCCTACCTTGCTGTCTCTCTTCTTACCGATAAACACAATCGGTCCCCTCTTCCCAATCTTGACATTCATCCAACTCATCTTTTTTTTTCTACAACATTTTCCACATTCACAGACATAGATCTTCCACCAACATCGCAACTGTGAACGCACCCTCATCCACACATCCACATACACATTTCACAATTTTGCAAGCTTTTTGAGCATCCATTTCTACGATTTTCTACGATTTCATTTTGACAGCAGCAATTCTTACAATTCTTGGTTCACAGTCAACCGATCTCAACATATCGACCTCTTGTCATTAATCCGCCTACGGTATTATCCAAGATGAAGTTCTCTGCGATCCTCGTTGGCGCTGCTGCTGCCGTTGTCGCGGCTCAGGGCTCCGGCTTCCCTCAGGGCTTCCCTGAGTGCGGTGTAAGTATTATAATCTATTTACTTCCTAATATCGAGCTACACTTACTCAATCCTTTTCTAGATCACCTGCGTCAACAACATGTTGAGCCAAGCATCCGAACTTGGATGTTCCGACATCACCCCCTCGTGCCTCTGCACCAAACAGAACTTCATATACGGAGTTAGAGACTGCGCTACGGAGTCGTGCCCTGACCAATCCGTCGCCCAGCAGGTCATCCAGTACGGTAGTCAATACTGCGCTAGTAAGTCTCGTTGTAGCCAAGTCAATTGGCAGCTTATCCATGACTCTGATGCTAACCAGTCGGGATAGGTGTCGGTGTTGCTGTCTCTGGTATTCCCTCTGCTGTAAGTTGTAATTATTAAAATTCGGTTCCAACTTTGGTTGACTCATGAATTCTCAGACTGGCCAGAACCCTACTGCCTCCACTACTGTGGTTGCGACCGATTCTCCCACCGTCAACCCTAGTGTAAGGCTTTCCCAATACCCAAATACTTTCCATACAACCACTAACAAAAATCGAAGTCTTCTCAGGGATCAGCTTCGGCCTCGGCTTCGGCCTCGTCGGATTCGTCAGCCTCGACGGCTTCTGAAGGTTCAACTTCCGGAGGATCAGCAACTCAAGAGTCCAGCAGTAAGAGCCTCTCCTTCACCATCGTAACAGGCAGCTACGGTGACGTTTATATCTCAATGCTCACAGACAATTCAGCTTCCGGCACTGGTGTTCTTGTACCTATCACTACCGAGACCATCTCGACTACTATCAGCGGCAGTGATGGCCCTATCACCTCGGCTGTTACCAGCACTGTCTTCTCGACTTCTGAAGCTTCTGCCTCGGGAAGTGTCACCTCTGGTACCGAGTCTGGATCTGTCACTACGGGTGTGATCGAGTCGTCTGTTACTACCAACGGCTCAACTCTGGTAACTAGCATCACTACCACTGGCCCGGCAAGCAGCCAAACCTCGGAGGGAAGCAGCGAATCTGCCCCCAACGGAAGCGCCGAGTCGGGTTCATCTACCTCGAATCCCGCCGCACAGCGAACCGCAGCACCAGCCGGCCTCATTGCCGCCGCTGGTTTGGCCGCTCTGATGCTATAAACGACTTGGTGAGCAAGTGATTTGGTCAGGCTGAATCTCAATTCAGAAAAAAACGGCATTTGGTTTGAGAGGGTATGCAAACAGGTCACATAATATTATTGGTCGGTTAGTGCGAGGACGATTCACGATAGCTGGGGATTCCCCTTTACTTGATGATGCGATGACTTCGAGGTTACGGGCGGCTTTTTACGATGTATAAATGATTCATTGTCCTTCTTAGGACTACTAATACTTGTTTTAGAGATACCCACCCCCTGAGCAGATGGCATCAGGCATCGGGCAGTGGAGTTGGCTTCTCGCTTTCATCAATGGAACTAATAAATAGTACTTCTGTCATCAAGGCATATGTCTCTGTGTGAAGTACCAAATTATGTTACATCCAGTCTGCAGTTGTTTATTTTTTGGTCCAGGTTGTAACTCGCACATCGTATGATAGGTAGCTAATAGCTGTACTTGCATACATTCACGTATAACCCAAAAAGAAAGGTTTAACTATATGAAACACAACCAGTAATCCGTTGATAGATTATTTCGTGAATCGATTTACAACTCACCGTAGTCTTCCACATATTTACCCTTACGCAATCCCTTATCAATATACATAAGTACAGGTAGGCATAGAGGTAGATTTGTAATTTTGATTTTAGCCATGTGGTAGCCGCTGCTAAAAATATCTTAGCTATACCTTACTCCTTCTCAACTCAGCCAATTCAATCCAAAGAAAATTTCCCCTGCCACGAACTCCGGCTTCAATCATTCATTTATTCGCTTCAATCATGTTGCTTTATTTAAGATAATCGTCCACTATTTGGGTTAACAATATGGGGCAGATACAAAGTATCACTGTGAGACAACATCAGCAGTTGCCTCCTCCGGCATTACCAGACAATACTAGGTCGGCTTTCCTGGAATTACCACTAAACATAATCTACATGATCTACGATTCATTCTTAGACCCAATATCAACACTAACCCTTGCCCTGACATGCAAGGACATGTTCGCCGCAATACCAACATCACTGCCAAAACTGAACCCATATGACCTGGAAGAATTCCTGCTCCTCCTCGAGAAAGATATGAATGGTCCACGGCCAAGTTACTTTTGCCATATTTGCACACGTCTACATTACCTCAACAACACCCTCGAGAATGAAACCATATTCAACCATAGCCACGTTATGAAATCAAAAAAACATTGTCGCAAATGCGTATTGTTTGATGATAGCGATTTCGCCATCGGATACCACCATATCCGCCTCGTCATGAATCGGCACTTTTACGGCGCACCTGGAGGCTTACCGTTGAGCATATTTAACGTCGTAAACTTGTCTAATTATCGCCAGCCGCGCTAGTTTCGAAAATGGTCGGCAAGAGTTATAGATGACGAGCTTTTCCTATCTTCTACGCACGAGATCCACTTCATTGGTACCGAGGAGGGATTTCGATACCTCCTCGACCGAAGGGAGTACCAGATATGCGTACATGTTTCGACAATGGTGCGTGGGGTTGGGTTTAAGGATAATGAACTGAGCGCTGAGGCGCTTCACAAGTATTTTATAAATACTCAGGAGGCCCGCGACCGGCGGGTGGGCGTCACCAGTCGATCTTACTGTTACAACCCTCCATGGGGTACCGACCGCACTGTCAACTCCTTTAGGCCTGGGAAAAGCACAGATTCTTTGAGGCAATGTCGGGATGTCCTCGGATCGTGTATCATCTGTGCTACTGATTATACAACAACTCTCGAGAAAAGAGAAATTGGACACTGGTGGGAGCGTGGGCAGGAAAAATGGATCCTAACTATTGTCACCTATCATCAATTGGGACATGGTCTAGATCCATTTGATCTAAGATGGGAAGCGTTTAAGGCGACATATTCGAGCTATGGCAAGCCTTACCGCGAGGTATTCGGACCTTCACCTAGAAGCGTGAAGGTAAAGTGGGATGAGTCTATTTCACAGGGCACTGCTGAGTGAACACTTCATCGACAACGTTTGAGTACCTTGTGCTCTACCGGAGATATTCCCAGTTGGTAATTGGGTGGGTGTTACCTTAGCTTAAGCGCTTGAACTGTTTGATTTGCTTGTTTTTACAAAGCGGTACTTGAATTAAGCCAAGGAATAGATAAATATAGATCTTTGATAACTCCTTGCCTGGCTTAATATTATAGTATGCTTTTACTTTGAATATCGCTATCACTCGTACAGGGTGCACATAGCTTCGTCTTTAATACGACAACTAGCTTAGGTTGAAAAGGGGGGAGTATTTTGTATATAATATTATTGGGGAGTCACAGCTTTTCTAATATGCAAACTATTAGGTGTAACGACCTTTCGTAACAAGGAGAAGAATATATACGAAGTCCGTTGAATTAAGTATTAATATGCTATAAAACTTTTCTAGTCAGAACTACACGTTATTTCATACTAAACTACCAAATGCCAATATACTGATAAATAAACAATGCTATTGTTGATTCGCAATGATAGGCAGCGGTTTATTATACCTCAACTTCCAACTATCAAAAAGCTTTCCGTGGAAGAAATCGAGCGACAGTGAGGAATACATGGAATTATATGGGCCACGTAGTGAGAAATATGTTAAATTCTCTCTTCGAGTTATTAGATTAAGTCCCATTCGCAAATATGTTTCATTTTCTGGATCTTAAAGTCAACAATGTCGATAGACTTTGGTAGGTACTTTATCTTTCCCAATGCTAATGCAGAATAGTACTCGCAAACGCATCGCAAGAGTTTATTAACTGATATTATAAAATTTCGCTAGGGAAAACTCTAAAAGAAACACTCTCTGTCCATTGTCTCCCGCATCTCACTGGATCATCTTAGTGATTCTTATCCGCCTCGCCTAAACTACTCTTACTAATATTCTTTCGTAGAAGACCATAGGCCTCTGCTGCTCTTTTGAGGATACCTAACACCAAACCAAGCTCCTGGATCTCCTACTATGCATCTCGAAAAAGGCCTTCAAAGTCGATGACCAAATTATGTATTGAATCTGATGAAACTGGAGGTAGCTTCGATTGTGACTGTGGTTCGGTGTGTCGACCAGGTAGTAATTCAAACCCGTGGTTCACGACACGCTGGTGTCTGTGGTCCGTGAGACGGGCGTACATGCAACGTAGTTTGGCTTCTGTCCTGCCAGCTCGGTCATTCATTCTATCAAATATCTGAGGGAGGCATCGTCTGACAGCAGCATGATACCGTATTGTCTTCAATTGCCCTGGAGACATATCTGGTCGTGGCTCTACCAACTCGGATTCCCAGTCGATGGGATTTTTTATATCAAGGAGGACGTTTTGTATTACTCGAAGATGGGCGCTGACTTCGTTTAACCTGCTAGACATTTTTTGCATATAACATGCAGACGTTTGCATAAACCTGGAACGAGTTGTTGCGTCCACGGAGATGGAATTCAACGTCCGTAGTATGAGACGAAATCGATCCTCAATAATCGCTAATAGGTTATATCCTCTTTGAATAGTATCGGAAACAGCTTGCATGCGCTCCGATAGAAGTCGAGGCGGCCCTGGGTATGGCCGTGATTTGTGTTGGTAATCCATTGGAATGAAATGCGACTTGTCTTCGCTATAGTCTGTGGGATGGCGTGGAGGTTATCGATCAGGGTTGAACAGCTAATAGGACCGAGGCCGAAAGATCTATTAGTTGCTGGGTAAACTACTCGTAGTTAGATAAGTGAGAAGGCGTTATCAATATCATGTTTCATACCTGAGATTTTGTGAAGGTTATCGTTTAGTCTTTTTATGGCAATTATGAATACCTATACTAGGTAGATATGTTGATATATAAACCTGGAGCGAGTGATATGTGATGTGTGAAATGTTATTGAAGGAGAAGCAAAAGATCAAGATCTCGAAATGCAACTGAAGGCTTTTAACTACCTGGGCACCTCCCTGTGATTAGCTTTAGTACCTAATATAGAAAGAAGCCTGGTAAGTATCCCAAAGGCAATCACTACCTGATAGGGGCTAACTTTATAAGAAAGGCGCGAGATACCTCGGATGATATTTTGAGGGAAGCCGCCCTGTACTAGAAACCTTACATGTACACATATAATAAGTACCTATAACATCTTTTATATCTTTAAACTACCTTGCTCTATTTCATCTCAAATAAATCCTCGTAGTTAAACATGTACATTATATAAAAATACGCAAGCACAATATCCTAGATACCCTCTCATCCTCATCGTCGATAAGCCTTGTAAGGGGTTTCCATCTGACAGATACTATATGCAAAACTTCCATATAATTTTCTTTGCGTCTATCATGAGATACCTAGGACATTAACATGGACTAAATTAAAACGTCATTAGTGTAGCTGATGAACTAATGCACCCCAGATCACGAGATGGTGCGGGGTAGCTTCATTTATTAGAAGCAGATTTACGAGAACCTGGTTGAAGCATCTCCAAATCTTATCTGGATAACAATACCCCATTCTTATAGGTACATGCAAGACAGGGGCAAACGGGATATATTTAGGTTGCCTTACATTACGCCCTCCTATAATCCTAGACCCTACAAAACTTACACTAGATTAAGTACCTAAGGTAACCATGGCTTCCACGCAGATCCGACTTGCTACTGCATCCCCAGGGACGCAAGGGACTACCAAGGAGACTATCGCACAGCTTCAGCACATCGCTCAGCGCGCCGCGGTTAAAAAGGCCGATATCCTATTACTCCCGGAAGCTTATCTCGGTGGCTATCCCCGGGGTTCAGACTTTGGATGCAAAATAGGGTCTCGTACTGCAGAGGGCCGTGATGATTATCTGCGCTACTTCAAGAGTGCTGTGGACCTGGGAGACACCGTTGGCGACGGGGCTGGAGCCGGTGAAGCTTGGGTCAAACGGCAGTTGAGTGTTGATGTTGTCGTAACTGGCGATGCGCAGGGACCGGTGAACAGGGGTGACGGGACGAGAGAGGAAATCGAGCGAATCGCAAGGGAGACGGGCGTCTTCATCGTGGTGGGGCTCGTGGAAAAGGCAGGGGGGAGCTTGTATTGCTCCGTCATATATGTTTGCCCTAAGCTAGGGGCTATCGGGAAAAGGAGAAAAGTCCAGCCAGTAAGTATGATGTTTCTTACCTATATGCATTCTTTGTGTGACTAGCCAATGGCCTTTGCAGATACATGAAGCCACCTAGGTCATAGTTGGCAAGGTTAGGGATTGTAGCTTTTATACCTTTACTTGTTAAACTATTGGGTGTTATAAGAAAAGTCTTGATTCCGGATCATCATCATCCAATTATCAGCTGGAGTCTCAGTAGAATATCTATATAGTTCTACTGGGGTGGGAATTATATAGAACTACTATTGGGAACTACCCATAGTGAAATAAAGCCGACATAATTAGGTAGCTAACAGCAGACAGACGGGCACAGAACGACTTATCTGGGCGCAAGGATCGCCTGCGACCCTCAAAGCAGTGAGCACCACGATCCGCGGCGTCCGTATCAACCTAGCTGCCGCTATCTGCTGGGAGAATTATATGCCTCTTCTACGACAGAGTCTCTACGCCCAAAATGTCAATCTATATCTCGCGCCCACAGCAGATAACCGCGATGCTTGGCTGTCGTGTAAGTAGCCTGCCTCTCTTTTTCTAACCTTGGAGTTGTCATGCGGGTTTGAAAGTTATTGCTCTGAAGCACACGCCTATGGCATCATATTGGAATAAAATGATAGAATGCCTATTTAATACTGGGATATGCAGTGATGCGCACCGTAGCCCTCGAGGGCCGCTGCTTCGTCGTCAGCTCCAACATGTGCGTGCGCGGAGATCCTACCGCGGACTCCGTAGCCACGCCTAACCATAAGCACGGCGTAGTTGCACCTCATAGCGACCACCAAAAAGGCGCGACCGGAAGACGGAACTCGTTCATGACTGAAGACGGCTTCGAGATCGCACTGCCTCTATCTCCAACCTCCCCGAGCGCATCTGGGAAACCGAGGATGGTCAGCCAGGGCAGGAGAAGGTCTGTGTTCGACGAGGATGGCAACGAGATCGCCCTCCCCGAAGGAGACCTGACGGCATCCGCCGTCGTAGAGGAGGAGGAGGGAGAGGCCCGGGTTAAGCCCGACTCTCCAGCATTGGTAAAAGCTCCCGCTGCATTACCAAGCAACAGTTTTGTCTCTCGCGGCGGATCTAGCATCGTGTCTCCTTTTGGCGACGTCATAGCCGGTCCGCAATGGGAGGACGAGGAGGGCATTATCTACGCAGACGTTGATTTCGATGATTGCATTCGCGGGAGGCTGGATTTGGATGCTGCGGGGAGTTATTCGAGGTATAACATCTTCCCCCCCCTTTTTTTCTTCTATACTATATCTGCGGTATCATTTGGTACATGTTCAGCTAACAACGGACTCTAGGAATGACTCTTTCAAATTCTCTGTGGCAGGTCTGGATCTTGATCCCTTGCCATACTACTAGTTTGCTTTTTCTTCAATTTGTTTTTTATCTATATTGTTAGTGATGATCCAGTTGAAGGTAGTACGATATAAGGTATCGTATGGTCGAGCCTAGGTAGTCGTGTAAATCTTTTTAAGACCCGGGTAGCTGGGAAGTTTATACGTGTGTATCTACGGCCCCTTTATTTAGAAGTACCTCCCATTCACTCATTCAACTTGTTCAGGTTGACCTAAGCTCACTTGTATAAAATAGACTGCCAAGATTATCAGTATTTGTAAGAGTAATTCAATCGCAATCTTGTTCTAAATTCAACTTGTAGTACAGTAAACGGGTATCTAATTTCGCCATCAATCCCAACCGATGCCTGCCTGCATGTCTTCCATAGCCCAGAAGCCACCCCAAACGCAAAAAATAGGAAAATGACACAAAAATACAGGAACTCCACCATCCTCACCCACCGCGAAATCGTGTCGTGGGACGTCATCGCATTCGCAACAAAAAACGTTATCATACCCGTCTACCCTAATCTGCCAGTAACCTGCTGAACACTGAGATGAATTTCTTCCAAATCACTACACTACGAAGGGCTCGCTTGTTATCAAGATATGCACTCTCCTCGATACCTTCTTAACCTATATCTTCTACTCTTTATCCTTCGTCACGAGGTTCTCGTCCTTCTCTTCAGCCACGGCACCCTTCTCCGCCGCCTCGCGCGGGGATGCAAGCGGGCTGTTTACGCCACCAACGCTTCCACTGATGCTATCGGCACGGTTGTGGTTGAATAAGCCGCTACGGACGCTGGCGGCGTCCCCGGCGAGGCTTTGCTTTGCATAAAAACTGTTACGCTCGCCGGGTAGAGTGGGCGTGATTCCAGTTGTAGAGTAGATACTCGTACGTTCGTTGGCCCCGGCAATCCGCGAGGTCGACTGGTGTAAACCCGGGGTTGACATATCGCGACCACCGCTACCGTCGATATTGGCACTGAGGACACTGAGCGGAAGGGATTCGCGGCTCCCTCCCCAGAGGGAAGATGGCGCGAGGGCACGTACCGACGCATCGGTATCCATAGACCTTCGACGGCGTCTCTTGCTGGAGGAAGCTAGTGTGAGGATCGACGCGTTGTCTGTGAGAAGGTTGTTTGCGGTGGCTGTGTTGTAGGTGGTCGGATAGCCAGGATTCGAATGAGGTGCAAGATACGGGGGAATCGCAGAGGCGGGAGAATTGGTGGGAAAAGGTTGAGTAAATTGGATAGTCTGGTAATTGCCTTGGTTGCCTTGGTTGGATGAGTGGCCTCCATGAGCCGGGCCGTTGACTGCGGTATTTGGCCCCAGAGACTGGATGGTGGTAAGAGTAGTCGTTAGAGACCGCACAGAAGGTGCAGGGGAAGAGAAAGTACTGTCTCCTCCTTTTCGAGAGTCGAGACCTCCACCGGCGGTGCGGCTCGTGCCTGCTACCGAAGATGCCATATGCGAAGGAGCATGGAGAGATTGGGTGGCTTCGTAGTCGGTACACACGGTATGTGCTACAGACGGGGCACCGGCGGTGGGAGGGGCGGCTTCTTCGGCAGATGTTCGTGTAGAAGAACGACTTCCCGGGGCTAAAGAAGGATCAGAAATCCTGGCGCTACGGGAGGTCAAGAAGGATGGATCACTCTGGTGGGTAGGTATGGCGATACCGATGCGTCCAGACTGTGGGTATGGGTTGTTATTCTTCGAGGGGCGTTTCTTGGAACTCTTGGGGACGGCATCGCGTTTCGAGTGGTTATGTCGGCCGCTCTCAGTGGAGGAAGCGGCATTCTTGAAGTTGGCTAGCTTTTTGACCCATGTTGTGAAAGGCCTTCTGCGACCTGAGCGTTCTTGACGATCTGTCATGATGAATAACATGTTAAAGATACAATGCTGCGTCATAACTTAAGGAATTAAATATATAGAAGAGCTAAAGAGATGGGAAAAGATAGAATAAAAGAATAGATGAGATATATGTCTATATGCCTTGGAGAAACCTTAGAAGAGGGAGTGCTTACCAGTAGGGAGAGGAGATGTCTCAGTCATGGCCATCTGGGGGCTAGACAGAGTTACAAGGTGGCGATTAAACTGTAAATAGTCTTAGGTCAAGGTTTGATTTGGTGCACGTTTCCCCGGATTAAAAGACCAAATGAAAGGTAACGCGGTGATTTTCCGATTAGAGATGCAGTATAGTCTCTGACGTGTTGGCGCAATAACTCCCAATTGATGATATTTGACCCGCACAAAGTCGTTGAAAAGTTGGGCAGGTATGCGACAATGATCTAGACCTTATGCTGCTGTCTGCTGTCTATTGTTTGTTGTCTGTTGTCGTCCGGATTTTGAGGGTGGAGAGACGGAGAGATGGAAAGATGGAGAGACGGCTTTTATTGAGATATCGAAATGCCCGTTCTTTCGGAAATAGGCTAACGTATAAACGTATTAACGTATTGGGCTCCGATGTTGTGGTAATAGGGGGTGATGCGGCCCAATGTGACAAGATTGTTCACCTAATAGGACAGTATTAGGGTATGTAGGGATGGAAATAATGGTAGAATGGTTCTTTTTAAGACACCATCATCAGTGATGAGGTGCGACGGGGGAATGGATTATTTGTGGACATGTGGATTTTAATGGTTGTATGGCTGTATGGCTGGAAAGTTGGATGCAGGTGGGTTTTTAGTTTTAGGTATGTCTCCGAAATCTGTTATCGACAATGCTGTCCAATTATAACGTTCCGAAATGAGCCTTCCAGAAATCTCCCCCTTGCTTTAAACCCCATTTTTCGAGGCTGATGCTTCTTTCTCCACCTATCTGCCTACACGCTAAATGCTAAGGGTGCTTACAGGTAAAGCATTACCTAATTCAGGTAACATAACATCATTAGCCACAGCTACTTCTATTTTATACTTTATTTATTTCACTTCGCTTCACTTACACGATGCTGTTGTAAAATACGCAACCTAACCTTAACATTTATATATTCGCTCTGAATATTTCGATGGACAAGGTCGCATTCTCATCTCTCATATAAGAATATCACCAGTTGACTACGAAGATGAGAGATGAGGAAAATACCGGTGCTCTGCAATGTCTATCCAGCAGTTGCCGGAGCATGTCATTGCTCAGATCAAATCATCTACCACCATAACCTCACTTAACAGTGTTGTCTGTGGTTTGGTAAATAATTCTCTCGACGCAGAAGCTACTAAAATCATAATTTCTATTGACTATATTCGAGGCAATTGCTCCGTCGAGGATAATGGTTTAGGAATACCTCCGGAAGAGTTCAAGCCTACTGGTGGCCTCGGCAAACTTCATTATACGTCTAAATTCCCCCCTCGTAGTGATACTCATGGTCGAAACGGCGTTTTCTTGTCTTCTATAGCTGCATTATCGCTATTAGCAATAACGTCTCATCATCATGGTTATCACTCTCATAATTCAATTAAAATCCATAACGCCGAAATCTTGGCACGGCATACCCCTTCCTTATCAGAACAGAGGTTGTTAAACTTTCCTCATGGGACTCGGACGACTGTTCGCGATCTCTTCGGGTCTATGCCAGTGAGAGTTAAACAGAGGGCGATCGATGCTGAAAAAGGTGCCAACGCCAAGGATTGGGAGTCACTTAAACGTGCCCTCGTGGCGCTGCTACTCGCTTGGCCAGGCCAGGTCTCCATATCACTTCGCGATTCCGTAGATCGGCGTAGTCTTACACTCCGCACCCCCGAAGAATTTTCGAGTTCTCAAGACAATAGGCATGACGACCTTAACCTTACCACTCGTGTTTCGAGGACATTGTTCCAAGCCCAGCTATCCGATGATCGCTCTCGGGATCTATGGGTGCCACTTAAGGCATCAGCAGGTGCAATCTCGATAGTAGGTGCAATATCGCTCGTTCCCATAGCCTCTCGGCATATACAGTTTATTAGCATAGGTGTACGACCTGTCTGTAATGACCATGGACCAAACGTCCTCTATGAAGAAATTAATAGGTTATTTACGAACTCGAGCTTCGGGGTAGAAGAGGAGGGTAACAACCTTAGTGAGAGTGAGCAAAATAGGAGAGTCAACGACCGCCGATTCAAACCAGATGGATACACAAACCAGGAACTCAGGGGTAGAAAAGGGGTAGACCGATGGCCCATGTTCTATATCAAAATTACCCTTGGACAAGTCTCTCAGAACGTTCAATATGACGTGGAAGAGATCTTAGATGAACGCCACGAGAGTATAAAAGCAATAATTGATGTTCTATCGGCGGTTATCTACGAATTTCTTAAGGCGCACCACTTTCGCCCAAGGTATTCTAGACCTCGTGGGATCACATCATCTAAACACTCGAATTCTCAGAACCTACGCAACCAGTCATTGTCTAGAAGTACCACTCCAAAAGTCGAATCTCGAGCAACTAGGGCTAAGGCATCTATAAATCATCTATCATATACAGAAGATTTGGCCAGTACTCGTCTTAATCTCCCGTCTAGAAATTCCGGGTTGCGACCTTCATCTCCGTTCGATTCTTGGACTCGTATCAAATCAGGGCAGCCTCAGTATGCACACTTACACGACAAAACTTTGGGTCAATCTGCTATGGAATGTGGTCATAGTCACAGTCCACGCTTAGAAGACGGCAATAATATTTCGGACACACCATTAGTTGCTTCGGATGGCACGCTTGTCCGTATCCCTTTCCCCGACGTAGAATTGGATACGCCCGTTATAGGTAGCCAGAAGCCTACACCTAAAGAAGAGAGTATTGGCAAAGAAGAATCTCAGTTAAGGGAAGGCAAAGAAATTCTGTGGACCAATCCAGCCACCAAGGATACCTTCGTCGTCGATACCCGCACTGGCTCAGTGATTCGGCCCCTAAGACCTGGAAATGGGGGACCTGGCGTACTGAATGAGGTCCATCACCTGTCTTCAAGAAAGAAGCTTCGTACAAACACCAAGCCAGTTACTAGCGATTTAAGAAGCGAGTGGCTGTGTGATCTCTTATCATCCTGGGACAATCCGGTTTTCAAGTTACATGAGCCACCGATTCCAGTTGCTTTCGATGAAGAAAAAGCATTAGCTTTAGCATCAAAGGCGACAGAGGATTGTTGCCATGGATGTAACTCTAGATCGTTGGAACCCTTACAAACTACTTCTCATAGTATGGAAGGCCGCCTGTCTAAAGATAGTCTACGGAATGCTGCTGTAATATCGCAGGTAGATCGGAAGTTTATACTTGTTAAAATCCCTTTACCTTCATCGCCTCCTGATCTAGGTATGGGAAAAAGTGGTGACACCTCATTGCTTGTCATGATTGATCAGCATGCTGCAGATGAGCGGTGTCGGGTCGAATCCCTTATGAAGGATTACTTCATGATTGTAGAAGATACCGAAGATGCGGTCACAGGACAGCCCCAGCAGTTGATTCATGCACAGGCTGAGCTTCTAGAGAAGCCCATCGTATTTGATGTTTCTCTTCGAGACGGTCATCAACTTAAGCAGTCTGCCGAGTACTTCAAACATTGGGGAGTCGTGTTTCAGGTCACTTCAGTGCTAAAATCAAAGCTTGACAACAAGGAAAAACACAAGCTTCAAGTTCTCGGCCTACCACCTAGCATAGCTGAAAGATGTCGCTCAGAGCCCCGACTGCTTATCGAGTTACTAAGGAAAGAGACATGGAAGCTCGACGAATACGGACACAGTTCTTCTCAGCGAAGGACGAGGGGGGAGACCCAGGGAGCTAGTGATGGTTCTGCTAGTCTACACTGGCTGGCTCGGTTTCACGGGTGCCCCAACGGCATTATAGAAATGATCAACTCTCGAGCGTGTCGGAGCTCTATTATGTTCAACGATGCTCTTTCTCATGAGGAATGTGTCGATTTGGTAAGGCGGTTGGCAGATTGTACTCTACCTTTCCAATGTGCCCATGGACGACCATCAATGGTGCCGCTGGTAGATTTAAGTAGAATCCCCACGAGTGCGGTAGATATAGAGAAGCCTACGGGCGGGTTTGGGGAACGGTTTAGGAAGTGGAAAGCAAGTATGGCTAGTGGATAAGGGTTTGTATAATTAGGTGACATATTCGGAAGAGTCTTTTTGACATATATGTTATAGATAGAGATACCCAAGAGATTCTATGTTAATGTTAGACATAATTATACCTAACATCCAACGTGCACTTATACCTAGGTACCTAGGTAGATTAAAGTGATTCAAGCACCGCCACACCTTGAATCTTCAAATTTCAAGTACCAATGTGCACATACAATGTACCTAGTGTACGTACCCATGTATCGAGGCGCTAAGGTATGTACATCGGTACCCAAGTATCGATAAAGTATCGATAAAGCAGCTCCCATCTTGGAGCTTCGCGGTGACGTTCCCAGCTGTTAGACAATTTAAGTATCACCAACTTTCGAGCAAGGATGAGCAAACCAGAATTAATGCCGCCCAGTTGATTGTCGCAAGCATTTGAGCACCCATTATGGCTTTGCTTCTGGTGAGTTATCAGTCTATGAACTATTCTCCCTTATTCTATTCAACTAACCTGCCCCAAGTGGAAAGCATTCGACTTCTTCGAAGTAAACCAGATTAAGCTCGGCGACGACGAAACACGTTCATTCTTTGAGAACAACGAGGTATCAAGCGTATGCTCCGGATCCGATAGTTTATTCTTCGGGAGCGATGACGGCTATGTGCGCATTATTGGGCCCAGTTGGAAGATCGTCCGGAGCTTCCAGGCACACGACACCGGTCGTATTACCCATATGCGCCAGGTCGAGGGAACGAGCCTGCTAGTTACAGTCTCTGTAAGGCATATGGCATAGTCCTACAATTTTGAATGGAACTAATAATAAATAGGAGGATTTGAGTAATGAACCTGTACTGAAAGTCTGGGCACTGGATAAACCCGTCAAGAAGACAGGCCTGCCTACTTGTTTGAGTACATTGAACATAAACAATGGGCGAAAGCAGTTTCCTGTGAGCACAGTTGGAAATTAATATGTGGATTCGTAATCTAACTAAATATTATAGATATCGTCATTTACCGCTCTCGATGACCTCTCGCAGCTCGCCGTAGGATTTGCAAACGGTTCAGTCACAGTAATACGAGGCGACCTGATACACGATCGAGGCACAAAACAACGAATCGTTTACGAGTCGGAGGAACCAATCACAGGAGTCGAGTTTGTAGCCGATCCAAAGCTCACAACACTATTTGTCGCGACGACGTCCAAGCTCTTAAAGCTAGTTATATCTGGTAAAGGACAAGGGCAACCGCCGAGGACGATTGAGGATGCCGGGTGCGCCGCCGGTTGTATGACATCAAATAACAAAACCGGAGATATCATCGTAGTCCGGGAAGATGCGGTATACTATTACACATCAGAGGGGAGGGGGCTTTGCTTTGCCAACGATGGAACCACGAGCCTAGTCTCAACTTTTCAAGACTATGTCGCCCTTGTTTCGCCGCCCCCGGTTTCTAGCAGCGGAGCCTCTGATAGTATAGGGAGGCGTTTTGGAGGATCAAATGCAGAGGCCCTCTTCAACGCTGCTAGGTTCACAATGGTGGACCCGATGCTTCAAATAGTCGCACATTCCGAATCTCTTATTTCTGAAGTTAAGGCTATTTTTAAAATATGGGGAGATCTGTTCATTTTAACTCAAGATGGAAAGGTGAGGCATACTGACCTTTATTCGATCGAGCATATACTCATCAAGACCAGGTTACCCGCTATCATGAGAAGTCATTACAGCAGAGGCTCGACTTATTATACCAACGAAACCTATTCCCGCTTGCTATTAATCTTGCGCAGAAGTCTGGCATGGAACCGCAACAGCAAAATGTCATATACCGGAAATACGGTGACCATCTATATCAGAAAGGAGACTATGATAGCGCGATGTCTCAGTACATCAAGGCAATTGATAACACTGAGCCTTCACAAGTCATCCGAAAGGTAAGTTTTCATCTTGAAACTCTAGAATTTCTCTGACAGAAATAGTTCCTCGACACACAAAGAATACATAACCTGATCGAATATCTCGAAGAGCTTCACGAGCATCACAAAGCTACAGCGGACCATACAACATTGTTACTAAACTGCTATGCCAAGTTGAAGGACGTCGAGAAGCTAGAGAAATTTATCAAATCTGAGGGAGATTTGAAATTTGACCTGGACACGGCCATAAACATGTGTAGACAAGGTGGATACTTTGACCAGGCCGCTTACCTTGCGACCAAACATGGCGAAAACGACCTTGTAGTGGATATCCTCATTGAGGACTCCAAGAATTATGCCGAAGCACTTGATTTTATATGGCATCTAGATGCTGAAACGGTACGTGAATTAGTGTTTGATATTACTCGGGTGCTAATATTGAATAGGCATACCCATCATTAATGAAATACGCTAGAGTACTCCTAGAGAACTGCCCGAGCGATACTACTGACCTCTTTATCGACTACTATACAGGAACATATAAGCCTAAGGTTCATCCAGTACCAGAAGAAACACAAACAATTTCAAGTGGAGGATTAGCAGCTGGAGCCGCAATAGCCGTACAGAACCTAACTAGCCTACTTCCGCTCCCCTACATGAACACATCCGCAGTCCCTACACCTACTGGGCAGGGATCGCAAGCAACTGTTAGCGACGCAGGCGCTGTGATAGATAACGAAACGAACACTGAGCAAAAGTATACCCCACCCCCTCCTAGAACCGCATTTTCGTCTTTTATCGACCACTCAGACGAGTTTATCGTCTTCCTCGAAGCCTGCCTTAAGGATGATTCTCTCAAGGAATCAGACAAAGTAGATATCTATACAACTCTATTTGAGATGTATCTCCATAAAGCAAGCGAGCGGAAAGGAATGCAGAGGGAAGAATGGGAGCTTAAGGCGAAGAAGCTCATCGAAGGGCGTGAAGTACCCATCGAGAACTCGAACGTTCTGCTACTATCCCACCTCTCAGACTTCCGAGACGGCACAACTCTAGTCAAGGAGCAGTCCGGTTTATTGTTCGACATCTTCCGCTCCTATACTTCCGCGAAGGATACACGGGGTGCTATCAAAGCCCTCCGCAAGTACGGAGCTGAAGAACCGCAACTTTATCCCGCGGCACTAGCCTACTTCACGTCAGACAGACGGATCTTAGAGGAAGCCGGACCAGAAGAGCTAGCCAACGTACTCAATAAGATCGATCACGACGGCCTGATGGCGCCCCTACAAGTCATCCAGACGCTAGGCACCAACGCCGTCGCGACCATGGGCATGATCAAGCCATACCTGCGAGAAACGATCTCGCGTGAACGCCGCGAGATCGCGTCTAACAGGCGGCAGATCAACTCGTTCCGCAAGGAGACGGAGGCCAAGCGGGCCGAGATGGCGGAGCTCGGGACCAAGCCGGCCGTGTTCCAGGCGCAGCGGTGCCCCGGGTGCGGCGGGCCCCTCGAGTTGCCGGCCGTACACTTCCTGTGCAAGCATAGCTTCCACCAGCGCTGCCTCAAGCAGCAGGGCGACGACGGCGGCGACGTCGAGTGCCCCGTGTGCGCAGCGAACAACGCAGCGGTGCGCGCCATGAAGCGCAGCCAGGGCGAGCGCGCGGATAGGCATGACTTGTTCCGTGACGCGCTGGAGAAGGGTGATGATCGGTTTAAGACTGTTGCGCAGTGGTTTGGGCAGGGGGTAATGGGTGCTGGAACGGCGGAGTAGCGTTGTGATCGATTGAATTGAGTCAAGTTTGTGTATGCTTGTATGTGCGTTTAAAGATTATATCCTAAGAAGCTGGGGTATCGCGTCTATGTGTGCCGGGCGCTTTTCTATATACATGTTTATATGCATCGGTATAATATACCTTATATACAGGACTTGCTGTGTAGCTAGGTTATATGATATCCCCTCTATAGGGAATCGTAAATTTAGTTTTTGTCTATAACCCCGAATAAGTTGTTGAGCCACTTCCCAACTTGCTCGTTGTCGACTTTGGTCTGCCAGTCGGTGATTTGGTGGAGATACGCCGATTCAAGAGACGCTGGTAGGTCTTGTCCGGAGACCTCGGTGATCTGTCCGTGGCGTACTGTCATTGCTGCGCGAAAATCTGGGGGGAGGTTGTCTGGTAAAGATGGCCTGGGACGAGGGTCATCTTCGGTTGGGTGCGTGGAGAAGGTAAATTGTGGTGTTTGTGTGTATATCCAATCTAGGGACTGTTTTGAGAGTTAGGGGGGTTATTAATTTCTTATTCGTTGACTTTTATATTTAGACACCAGGGGGGGAGGGGTGAGACGATTCATAATTTCTAATAGGACCCCTTTTCTTTCACTTTTACTCTCCAGATATAAAGAAGATTTCGGTGGAAAATAAAGACATACCTTGAGCTCAGCATATCCTTTTGCGATAGCTTGAACGTCATTCAAAGCTTCCTCGGCGTCCGATACCCAAATAATCTCGGGATCAACGTTCCCGTACATAGCGCCGAACTCAGCGACGACGGCCTCCTCGAAAGTGGTCGTATCCTGTACCCCTACGTTGCGGATTGGGCTACGCACGCTTTCAACACCTCGCGCTTTAATAAAGGGGGCTGCGGGGGAACGTAGGAGCGGCCCTACAAGCGGTAGGTTGGGCGACTGTAGGAGGCACGTGCCATGGTGAAGAGAGCGTAGGCGTGTCAGCTTGTAAGCCGAGCCCGAAATCTTGAACGTTTGCGGTTGTGTCTGTGTCTGCCCGGGAACGTCTAACACTATATCGTGCCGCTCATTGACACGGGATCCGGACACACCGAGAGAGTGCAGCGCTTGCACAACCATGAAGGCATGTTTGTTCCGATCAAATGCGGCCGGCGGGCAGATTACGCTATAGTTCACATTGCCCGAGTCATGGAAGACGGTACCACCCCCGGAGCGCCGGCGCACGAGAAGCACTGGGCCTTCACTATCGTCGTTCTCGTCAACGACATTACTCTTCCCCGGACCAAGAAGTCCCAGATTAACCTCGACCCATGGATTCTGATTGCGGCCGACGACAATACAGGGACGGTTTGTGTAGAGAAATAAGACGACGGACTCCGGAGGCGACTTCTGCAGTAAGAAGTGCTCAATGGACAGGTTGAGATAAGGGTCTGTCGCCCGTGATATGTACACTTGGACTCGGTTGGCGGGATGTGAGACGGCTTCCGCGCTGAAGAGACGGCGTGAGGATAATGGGATATAGGGTCTTATACGCGGCCTGCTGAAAGGGTTGAGAAAATAGCGTCGGAGAGCCATACGGAAGGTCGGGATTGGGGAAAGATGCTGAAGCTACTTTTCACTTCATCTTATCTTCTACTATTTTGTCTCATTTTATTTTATTTCATCTTGTTTAATATTATGAGTGGTGAGATTTTTAGTTGAATTAATGATGAGGGCGCACCTCATCCCAAAGCTATCCCAGAACCTCAGCCCAAAGTCTAACCCAATCAAGCAAGTGTGGACCTGTTTTCACCCCAATAGTACTAGCGCACCCAAAACTCGACTACCATTTCATTAACATTATATTTATACAAATATATACTTTTATGCATTATTATAATATTTAATGAAATATAAATAATTTTATTTTAATTAATTAAAAATCAATTATTAATTAATTATTAATCGATTATATATTAATTAATAATTGATTTTTAATTAATTAAAATAAATCAAGTAAAAATAAGGAATAGGTAAAGGCATATATTTAATTGATTGAATTTTATTTACTAAAACTTACCTAAATGTCAAGCGCTATAATATAAGGGACTTAGTGATTGTAATGCGCTGTAATTACAGGGCATTTAGGCTTATATTTTAATGAGACACTAAAGTTCACCCCAAAGTCACCTGACGTAAAGCTCACCCCAAAGCGGGGACCCTGTCAGTTGTAACCAATCAAACCTTCGGATCCAAGGTCTTAGCTTTTGCCAAATCGGGTTAGACTTTGGGCTGAGGTTCTAGGATAGCTTTGGGATGAGGTGTAGACTCATTAATGATAAGATGAGATTTGATATTGACACTACCTAGACAGTCGTGCATATGACGAAGTTATGTACATACAACCCCCTGTCATCCCGGGACCCTGCAGCTTCTTGTGTTACCCCATATTAAATTTTTAGAAGCAGGGACTTTATCGATAACAATCGCGGGGCTTAAATCGGAGAATGTAGAACCCCCACCATCGTAAGACCTCGAAAATTAAATCGTGTCCTTGATCCGTTTGCTCTTTGACTCAAACGAACAAAGCCTCCTATCGCTTTAAAGGGACCAAGACGCAGTCCCAGAGGATCAATAAAGCGAACCTACTAGGAAACTCATAAGAGGACTCATATCATATCCTAATCCACCAATTGATTAGTTTAAATAGTTAACTCTTACCGAGCCATCGCCTACTTTTTAAGCATCACAAGATGTCGACCTTTGGAGATTTCTTTCGGGTAACTACGTTAGTTTTACCACCCAATTGACCTCACAGCATGTCTCTAACATATCTTTTATAGCTACGGCGAATCTCATTGTCGTTCGGTAGGATGTATCGTTGATGGTTGCCCCCCAGGCATGGAACTTACCGAGGACGATATTCAACCTCAGATGAACCGTCGCCGCCCGGGTCAGAGCAGTATCACAACTCCCCGGAACGAGAAAGATCGAGTAGCCATACAATCCGGTACCGAGTTCGGTATTACACTAGGAACTCCGATTGGCCTGGTGGTCCTCAATGAAGATCAAAGACCTAAGGATTATGGAAATAAGACAATGGATCTTTACCCGCGACCCAGTCATGCCGATTGGACTTACCTCGAGAAGTACGGTGTTAAAGCGAGCAGTGGTGGTGGAAGAAGCTCAGCTCGTGAGACAATTGGTAGAGTGGCAGCTGGAGCCATTGCTGAAAAGTATCTTAAGCTTGCTTACGGCGTTGAGATTACCGCTTTCGTTACGTCTGTTGGCGCCGTTCATATGTTCCCGCCCACACCCGAATATCCGACCCCCAGTCAAAATCCCGCATTCATGGAGCTAATCCAGAATATCGACCGCGAAACAGTCGACAAGTTCTTACCCGTAAGATGCCCGGATGAACAGTCTTCGCAAAAGATGGCAGATTATATAGCCGCATTCAAAGAACGCAACGACAGCATCGGCGGAACGGTGACATGTGTTATTAAGAACGTTCCAAGTGGGTTGGGAGAACCGTGCTTCGACAAAATAGAGGCAAAGCTTGGACATGCTATGCTCAGTATACCAGCGACTAAAGGCTTTGAGATCGGCTCCGGTTTCGGCGGTTGCGAGGTACCGGGATCTATCCATAATGACCCCTTTATTAGGGCACCGGAAACTCCTGCCAGCCCAGACACGGGTGCCGGACGGGCTGGAACGCCTAAACCTAAACTTACAACTAAGACGAACAACTCTGGAGGCGTTCAGGGCGGTATCTCAAATGGAGCGCCCATCTACTTCCGAGTCGCTTTCAAGCCGCCTGCCACCATCAGCCAGGCACAGACTACAGCTACTTACGACGGTGAGTCTGAAGGCGTGCTAGAAGCTAAGGGGAGACATGACCCTTGCGTAGTTCCTAGGGCGGTGCCTATCGTTGAGGCCATGGCGGCGCTAGTAGTTATGGATGCGCTGATGCAGCAGATGGGACGACACGAGGCTAGGAGACATCTTCCGCCTCTGAAACAGACGGTACCGCCCGCGGATAATGGTGTTTCTATGGATACGAAATAAAAGTTTGGGGATAGATAAAAACCGGATTACAAAAAATATAGCGGGATAAAATAATATGATTCGTCATTTTTTGGTTGTTTTTCTTTTTCAAGTTCTTTCCAATCATAGAACATAATAAACGCCACTTAAGTTAATCGGCGGGGGTTATCTCTTTACATAACATACTCTCTGCAAAATAACAAATATATCCTTTGCCGAGACGCCACCAATGTGGTTATGGCATCCACAACATCAATACCCGAGACATGTCCTCTCTTCAAACTTCCCCTACATATCGTCGCCGCCATTCTTGAACAGACAAGCTCAGTCCAACAGCTATACCTTACTATCTTAAGCCATCGTATCTTCCGCGATGCATTCTACGAAATTCCGCGTACTATTGTCGCTAACTTGGTTGCAAACCAGATCCCTTCTGATATTCTCCCTTTCCTTATAACGCTTCTAGAGCTCACTAAGATCCCCTATGATGATGATCTCGATGACCTGCTAGAACACTTACAGAGAAACGTAAAGGAAACTAACGCCGCATCCCTCGTCGATTTCTCGCTGTCGGATTACGCATTTATAAGTAGACAATATGCAGTTTCCGACTCGCTAGCACAAAGCCTAGCAGATGAAGTGACCCCTATTCTCGCTGATAGGTTAGGACTAGGCCGCCGTTCTTCGAACATTACACCGCAAGAGAGCTTCCGTTTGAATAGAGCATTTCTGCGGTACCAAATCCTATGTACCTGGGTATCTCGGTCAGATCACTCAACTTCTCGCCTAGAGCCCAACTGGGAATCCTTCTTTAGTTCCTGGAGTATATTAACCGTAGCCTTCTCCCCATGGGTTAATGAACAATTTTTATGTGTTTATTCCTACTTAGAGCGTAAGGTTACTGAGGGTGAGTTCCATAAGCGACACTTGTGAGAAACCTGGTCTAATCCTCTCTGTCATTCCCTAGCTATGGAAGAGCTTGCTGTACATGATGTAGCATGGAGCCAGCACCAATATGTATGCACCAGCGATGAAGATATAGGAGATCCCGAAATACGATGGTTTGTGAGTTTATCTCTGTTATAATCGATTGTCGTGCTCTTATAGCTACCATTTACCTCTAATCCAACTTCGAAAGCTTCTTCAAGGCCTCGAATTTCTGAGTTCCGTAGTTCGCGCAAAAACCTACGATGAAAAGATTCGCCTCCTCCACTTGGTCGACTTTCCACGCACGCCGGACACAAGCAGAACTTCATTTCCTGCCGAACATCCCAAGGGTTTTAATATATATATAGTCCCAGATCTCGGTATCAGAGATCTTGATACACCGCTAGGTCCATCCGCCGCGGATCTAAACCTGGATCAATTAACTGGGCCTTTGGACGGGAAGTACGACTCGACTAATTCGATCCCATTTCGCGTTTGGCTCGCTGCTCTGGTAGGGAAGTATGCTTACTGCGATGACACTCGGGACTTAAGGAACTTTTGGGACTGTGCGTATACCATATGGGACTATGCCAACGTCCCCGGAATGGATATGCGGGAGAAATTCGACGAGGTACATCATAAATCGCGATACTTCCAGCGCAAGTCTATGAATGACTGGATGGAACACTATGACTCGCCATCTTATTGGCAGATAACCGATATTTACCTTGCAGGAGGGTCAGGATATTGGCCAGAGGACGATTCAGACTTCAGTAGGATTAATGGGTTAAGTGAGGAAAAGAAAAGGGAGCTCTTGGATAATTGGCAAAATGGGATAGTCTCAGGACAGTTTTGGCTACTTGGTCTTCATAATGATTAAATGAGGAGAAGCTTCTCATAAAATAAAGGGGGAACTACCTGGATCTATATCTAGTTTCTTACTGTTACATGGGAGAAGTGTCCGAGCTATATATATGGTATCGGCCTGGAGACTATACTAATAAGAGTATTCCTGCGTGTAGACTTGGCAAGAATTTTAAGCCTCTACGGCTAGATAGAGTTCAACATAAACGACTTCTCGCAGGCGAACTGAAAAAAACGCCGTGAAAATTAAGCTGGCATTTATTGGTAAATTTTTACAAGGAAGCAAGATAGATTTACGGAAACCAGAGACCATCGGATTTATTATACGCATAAAACATATTATGGTTTTCTCTTAACTAATCATTCTCGGTCCCCCTTTTATCTGACTTTTAGAATTACTAGACATATTCTCCCGCCATGCAAGCTACTTTGCGAACTCCATCTTTCCACCGTTGAGGTTGAAGATCTGAAGCTCCCCATCCTCCCCTACTTCGCGACGGCCCTCGGCACAACCTATGGTAGCGATAGTCAGCAACAATTATTAGCATAATAAGACGGAAAGTGCCTGAGCAGATTTTGAGAAGCAGTAATTCATCGGTCACCCGGATCAAGAACGACGATTTCTTAAAAGGGGCTAGAAAATAAGTGGCACGAATTATTCTACGTACAGCTGCTGTACTGTGAATAGAGAAAGTTAGCAACGATACAGACATACACTTCGTCTAGACGTCTTGAATACATATGGAGGGGCTGTAGACTTACGACACCGTAGCATAGTTGGTTTAAACAATCGTTGACTTCGCACGTCAGGCAGCCAGGAATACAGCAGTAGCTCTGGTACTGGCGTGATGCAAGCGCGGGAGGCTTGGACGGCCCGGCGTTGGTAAGGAGAGCTAGGGGCATGATGGCAATGGCGCCGAGGAAGTAGACGAAGGTGGAGGAATGCATTGCGAGCGAACCTCTCTACACAGATCGAAGCTGTGTGAAAGTAGATGGATGTGTTTATGTCCGAGTCTATTGTTGAGTTTCTTGGTGAAAGCCCTTTGGAATTGTGTTGATAGGAGACGGAATCTTCTCTCTTAACTCGTTCTGAGCAGCTTTCTTTATATAGACATTCGTAAATAATTACTGCTGCGGATATCCTTTACGAAACTAGCCATATCGTCTGTATCTGCCGACAATATCTGATTGGAACGACTGATCCTATTTTCATAAGCCACTATCAGTTTGTTCTCTTGGAATGGGATACGATAGATAGACAACATGTTCTCATTTGCTGCTAACATTGGTCGACCAATAGCCCCCGCAAGCAATCAACTAAGCAAGGAGTCACTACTATTCACCACTTACATTAACTAATGAGCTAGTCGGTAGTCGAGCGGCGCACTATCCCTTGATGAGATTCTGGGGTCATCCTTATGACTAGGTACTGATAACGGACGAGTAGGAAACTTCCGGGAAGCCTCGAGCTTAACTACCTAAGTATGGCAACTGACTTTATTCTTTCTCTATTTGGTATAGATATTTCAAGTGAATCGAATGAATAGCTTCTAATGATATATCCTGTGGAGTTTAAGGGGTAAATAATGTGGAACAATCCCCTGAGTCGGGCTAGGCACTTTCGATTTTTCTCTCGTACATTTTACCTCTAATACTTGAAATATTCACCAAATTACTACTTGATAGTGGCTCTAAAGAAGAAAAGATGGGTTTGACGTGACAACCTTATTATAACTTGGGTCATCAGGTCTGCGACGAAAGTAAACATAAAGAAAAAATAGAGAGAAAAAAAATAATAGAAAAAAAGAAAATAGCAAAAAAAGCTAGAACTCAGGACTCGACCCCGAATCGATTGACCAGAACAAGTTGGCCTTCTTGCCGCCTCTCATGGAAATCGAACCTAAGCCCCTCGAAAAACTCCTCGAGGAATTATTTCTATCCCTACTTCCTTGCCACTACACCACGGCCATGTTGGTTTCGATAGCGCAGATCAGGGGTGAAAGAGTGGTTGCCTAAGGGCCTATTTAAGTCGACGGCGGGGTACGCGATATTGCCTGGCAACGGGCAGCTGGCACAACACTGAGGAATGAAGTACATTGTACTGGTACATATTTACAGCACTTAATTCTCGCTGTGATAATTCTTCTTCTGATTCTTTAGTTGCCAACACTTGATCATACTGGTATCGAAAATAGTTGGTAACCTGGACTCCGGATCCTAGGTGCATCCTCAAGAGCTTAATAGACATGCCTATATATTTGTAGTTCCCTACCCTCATTACCTTTGTATTTCTACCAAACCCCTATTCAAGCCTTGCCCATGATTTTAACTTGATATTGCTATGCTTGATAATACACCCCAATATTCCGCCGAAACGTGCAATGGATGAACGCCGTAAGCCATTATTCTAATCCCAGCCATGCAGTCAACGACACCTTAGTCCAGACTCCTCTAGTATAATAGCAACGAGTAAACTTCCACCTCCCCGTCCCTATCACACACTCCCCTCCGCATACAACCCCTCCTCCCGAATCCACCCCGCAACATCCTCACTAACCAGCCTCCCCAACGCCTCCCAATCTCTCCTCAGCACCGCCTCGCGCACCTTCGTACTACTAACAACCTCCTCGCCCTCCGTCCTCCCCTCCACCATCTCAATCCGCTCCGCCCACCCCGTCCTTCCACCCACGCGCTCCAGCCCCCCCTCCCGCAACTCCCGCACATACGCCCTCTGCGCCGCAGCATCGCCCCACTCCGCGTCCGTGCGCATCGTCACCCGCAGCTTCGAGTGCGCGAAGAACGGGTCGAGAGACCCAGCCATGGACCCGTCGGGATAGTACTTGGGGTCGAAGATGCGGATGAGCGTGTCGAAGCCCGTTAAGAAGACTTGCTCCGTCGCGTTGGGTTCTCGGGCGTAGAAGTCTGATGTAGATATGGCGCTTGCCTTGGCGTGGAAGTACGGCTCCGTTGTTACTGCTATGTCCACACCGTCGCACTGGTTTTTTTCTGCTGCTGCTGCTGCTGAGCGCAGTAGGTCCTGCGCGAAGATGTACATCATGGCTAGCCGTTGCGGGAAGGCGGCGGGCTTGGGCGCCTTGTCGGCGTTGTTGATGGCGAGGAGGAGGAGGACTCGCGATTTATAAGTGCTGTCATTACTAGGCTGTCCGTGTTCTGAAAGAGCGGATAGCGCCATACGTTGATGTGCGAGAGTAGGCGGGTTGAAAGAGGAGTCGAGAACAAGAAGGGATTTGGGAGGGGTTTGAGGTGGGTGAAGAGATGGTGCTTCGGCTGGCGTAGAGGATAGGGAGGAATGAGTTAAAGAACATAATACGCGGAAAGTCGCATTGGATATCTGGTAGCTCTTGAGAGCTTGGGTGAAGACGGAAACGAGATTTGATGGTAGTCGAGCCATTGGAGAGTTGTCTATTAATGACATTTCTATTACATTTGTCTAAAGGGTGTATATATAAGACTAAAGCAGGGTTAGATGTTACTAACGCTATATGAGAGAGATATATAACATAATAGAATTCTGGGCAACAACGATTCATATAGCGATGTTGAATGTGAGGGTAGTGAAAGAGTTGATAAGAGGTGGGATGAGAAAAGTGGAGACGAGGGGAGGTTCCGAAATCGTGGTATGCGGGTAATCCCGTCTTAAGTGGGTACCTATCTACCTAGGTACCTGAGAACAAGGGTTCTGTCGGGACTTGCCCCCCTATCAGACCTAGACTCGAAAGACAATGTATTGACGGCGCCATTGTTGAATAAATATTATAATCAACATGAATAACTTGTACATATGCTTTATAATAAGACTATGTACCTAGGGGTAGGTTATCTCGACATGATTTAATTAATCTCGTAGTGTGAGACGCATGCTTTCCTTTTAATGAAATAAGTAACCTATGTAGGTAGCTATAGGGTATCGTAAGTGATCAACCAGTATTCCAGAACGCCTTAGTGCTTCAATATGCGGCCCTGTTAAACACAGCTCGCCCGCTAGATACTTTTAACGAATTTCCGGTTCTCTCATGAAGTCGGGGATACTCAATCCGCCATCTCCGGGAGTATACTTCTTGGACTTGGCTTTTCGATCTCGCTTATCTGCAGCGAGCTTTGATATCGCCTCTTCGTCGTGGTCGTGGATGTTCATTGCCGCCATTCTATCGCGGTAGTCGTCGATTGCTTCGACCATATCCTCCACAGGATTGTTCTCCGCAGTATCTGCGCTATCGTCCAAGGCATAGACTTCCACTCCGCGCATGTGCGTATCCTTTCCGTTCTGGTGATTTTCGAGGACGGTCACTCGAATAAACCAGCAGCATAGTGAGTTGCCATCATGTCCGCCACCAGCTCCATTGATGGGTACGTCAACCCAGCCTTTAGGCTGATTAAATTCCATTATGGTGTACGGAATGTTCATGTTGGGGCTAAAGCCGGCCGTAATTTGGAGCTTAGTAGGCGTATAACTCTCATCGAGCTCATAATCTAGGTAGAGTCTAAACTTGCGTATCTCTACGCGCTTGATGAAATGAATATTTAATCGATGAGGTTGTAGCCCATCGGACCTAGGTAATATTACGTTAATGGAATTAGCGTGCAGAAGCAGGTGAATGCTTACTGCCAAAATTGGTTGACATCGTCATCCCGAAGTTCCTTGACGCCACAGCCGGGTTTATAGCTGCTGACCGTAAAACTAGCTAGGTTGCTGATTTCCTTTAAACCGACTAGGGACGCGTCAAATGCGGCATCTTCGTCGTGGCCTTCATCATCTTCGTCCAATTCTTCTTGATCTATCTCGTCCCCCTCAAGGCCCTCGATATCATGACCCTGGTCGTCTTCGCCTTCATCTTCCTCAAAATGCTCGGTGTCTTCTTCGGTAGGAGCTGCAAAATTGTAAGGTGATGAAATTGACAAGATATGAGAAGATGCATTGCTTCTTTGGTCTTCTTCAATAGCGGCCTCATTGCGAATCCGAAGTAGTACGCGCCATAGCTCATTCTGGGTCACTGTCGGCTGTGATAGGCCATGTCCACCTGGGGATGAAGCTGAACGGTCTCTTCCGAAACCTGGAATATCCATGGTGTATATGGAATGGACCCTAAGGGTGAGGAGCGGATAGAAAATAGAAAATAGTGAAAGGAGAAATAATAAATGAAAAAAAAAAAAAAAAAGCAAAAATTAAACGTGAAATTCAAGCTGACCTTGAGGTGTCTGTAAGTCCATTGTCCATTGCAAGTCACGCCTTGCACCACCATTTAAGGCAGAATATAGGCCGGTTGTCTCGGCAGCCCCGGCGCGGCTCGGGTCTCCGGGGTAACCTGGTGATGCCCGGGAAACGCGGTCTGGTCGCATCAAACGCCGTCGAAACTCTTCTTGCTGTTGACGGATGCTGGCAGGGTTTCTAGAAGTGCCACCGCTGCTACCAATGTCTTGAGGTTCCATTATTAAACAGATAATAAAATCCACAAGTTCATCTAAGGTTAATGAACAATCCCTTATTCTTTCAAATTGGTTTTCATGAATAGGGTTCTATAGAATGTGAATTTGGCGACATGAAATTATTGACGTATTGATGTTTTTATATACTTAGGTACGAAGGTATTAAGTAGGTTCGGTTTACGACTAGCGCTGTTTTCTATTGCTAATAATTATATATCATACATAGGATATACATTTATATACTATATTTATCTAACGAGCTTTTAAAGTCTTATCAAATCACGCCTTTTACACCACTTCTGGCCTTCTATTTTAAGTTCCTATTACTTATGTGTAAGACACAAGGACTACTGCTATCAATTAATTTAGTTATTCATTACCTACCTTATACGAGCATGTATAGCTCTTAACCTAGTTTTTATCTAGGTTATGAAGCTATCAGTTTTTTCTTTCTTTTTTCCCACCTGGTTTATTCACCCATACCCATTAACCTGCTTCACCTTGAGCCACCACCGAGTATCGAAAGGGACGATCACAGGTAGATACAGTGCTCGTACTGTAAGATATACAACATATGTCATTGAGTTAATACTTTTAATTCGGTACATCATTTGGAATGTATGAGATGTTTTAAATCGTAGGTAAGTAAAGTCTTTCCTACTTCAATGCTGTTTCTCATCCATCAATCCCCTCTAATCCTACTTTATGCTATGTATGTATATAAATATAGGTACATACATAATGTATATACATATTTTATAGCATGTGGGTCCACTACTTGTATGTTAACCGCTAATATCGGACCAGTACATAATAAAATATAGTGCCATGTATGAAACTTTATAGTTAGAAGTACTTGAAAAAAATGGCATTTACTTCGGCTGATGTCATTGGGCGATCGTACCGACTTGGGGTTCCCCGAAACTTTTGTGCTACAAACACTAGAGAATTGCTGAGGGGCAGCAGCGTGGTTCGCTCTAGTTGCTCTAACTTAAGACCTTCCTTAAGACCTTCTATCATTTCTACAACATCTCTCCTCAAAAATTCAACACGACAATATTGCAACTCATCTTCATCTATCTCGTCAATATCTGTCATACGAGCTGATTGCTTTTTTAAGCCATTAGGCAGGGGTCATCTGACACTCGCGCCCTACCGGTCATTCTCTTCTTCAACACCTGCCAAATCTGTCGCTTTAACAGCTCTTGATTCGCAACATCATTCTCAACCCAGATCTAGGCCCCACAACAACTCTCCCAATTATCCTGTCTACTTGCAACGTGGGGTTGCCCCTCTACATATAAATATACCAACACATCTACCAAAAAGCAGGTCTTTTTCTTCGTCATCCCAAGTCTGTTGTTCAGCCCTTATACCTTCGTCCATCATGGCAGACCGAGACATTCTTCCCTCTACCGTCGTCCCCTCCCATTATGATCTCTCTATATCCTCCTTGAAGTTCGACGACTGGTCTTTCCAAGGAGCAGTGGATATTCAAGTCTCGATCACGGAACCTGTCAAGGAAATAGTCATCAACTCTATTGAGCTCAAGCTACACACTGCCAAAATCACAGTCGACCACACCAAGTCCTCTCAGTCCCTTGAGACTACTACTTTCAACTATGACGAAAAGAAGCAGCGTGCAACCCTCGTCTTTGCTGAAGAGGTTCCTGCCTCTCAAAAGGCTACTCTCCATATCACGTTCCAGGGAATCCTGAATAACGATATGGCGGGCTTCTATCGGAGCAAGTACCAGCCTACAGTTCCCGCTGCGGCCTCAGTACCTAGAGACGATACCTTTCATTACATGCTAAGCACACAATTCGAGGCCTGCGATGCCCGCCGGGCTTTCCCTTGCTTTGACGAGCCTCGGCTAAAGGCAACTTTCGACTTTCAAATCGAAATCCCCGAAGATCAGGTTGCCTTGTCCAACATGCCCGTTAAAAACACTTCGAAAGCCAAAGATGGCCTCGTAGTGGTTTCCTTCGAACGGACTCCTGTCATGAGCACATATCTTCTTGCCTGGGCCATTGGCGATTTCGAGTACGTCGAAGCACATACCGAGCGACGATACAATGGAAAGCAAATCCCCGTGCGTGTGTACACCACCCGGGGACTTAAGGAGCAAGGTCGATTCGCTTTGGAACATGCGCCTAAAACTATTGACTTATTCTCGGAGAGCTTTGGTATCGATTATCCCCTACCAAAGTCTGACTTGCTTGCCGTCCACGAGTTTACGCACGGAGCGATGGAGAACTGGGGTTTGGTTACTTACCGTACGACGGCCGTCCTTTTCGACGAGAAGACCTCGGACGCTAGATTCAAGAATCGTGTCGCATACGTCGTCGCTCACGAACTAGCCCACCAATGGTTCGGCAACTTGGTCACTATGGACTGGTGGGACGAGCTTTGGTTGAACGAGTCATTTGCTACTTGGGCGGGATGGTACGCCGTCAACGAATTCCACCCTGACTGGCAAGTCTGGGCTCAGTTTGTCAACGAGGGAATGGAATCAGCGTTCCAGCTTGATGGAATGCGCGCATCTCACCCTGTTCACGTCCCAGTCAGAGATGCTCTAGATGTAAACCAGGTCTTTGATTCCATTAGCTACCTCAAAGGATGTTCTACTTTACGAATGTTGGTCAATCATCTTGGAGAGAAGACTTTCCTTCAAGGAGTCGGGGCGTATCTAAAAAAGCATGCTTACGGTAATGCCAAATCTGAATACCTCTGGGAGGCGCTGGCTGAGGCCTCTGGAGCTGATATCACTGGTCTTATGGGTAACTGGATAGAGAAGATTGGTCATCCCGTATTGACTGTTGCTGAGGAGCCTGGACAGATCTCGATTAAGCAGAACCGGTATCTATCAACAGGCGACGTGAAACCGGAAGAGGATCAAACCATATGGTGGGTACCGCTCTCCTTGCAAGGTAAGGTAGGGCAGCAGGACATTCAGAACTTGGCCCTCACTGAGAAGAGTACGACAATCCGGGATATCGACGACAACTTCTATAAGATTAATAGCAACGCCACCGGTTTCTACCGAACAAACTACCCTCCAGCTCGTCTTGCGAAGCTTAGTAAACAGCTTGATCGCTTGAGTAACGAGGACAAGATCTCCATTATTGGCTCTGCGGCTGACTTGGCCTTCTCCGGCTACGGTACCACACCTGCTCTTCTCTCTTTCGTCGAAGGTTTTAGTGGCGAGACGAATCAGCTTGTCTGGGCTCAAGTTCTAGACTCCCTCGGGCTAGTTAAGACTATTTTTGGCGACGATGAGGCTATCAAGCGCGGCCTTGAGCAGTTCACTCTAAAGCTTGTTAACAACGCAGTAGAGGAGATTGGTTGGGATTTTCCAGAAGGCGAAGACTATCTCAGGAGTTTGCTGCGAAAGAGACTTTTGCTTAGCGCCGCAGCAAACGGCCATCCACAGTAAGTTGCCCTGTTACAAGATCGCATACCTCGTTTCCTTGTGATTAAGACTACGCTATGTTTCATATACTCCGTTTCACCTGCTAATAAATGGTTCAGAGTCGTCGAAAAGGCCAAATCATTATTCGAGGCTTGGGCCGATAAGGGAACCCCTCTACCCCACCCGAACTTGAGGACCGTAGTCTACCGTGCTGGTGTGAAGACCGACCCAGCAAAGGCAGTGAAGGCTCTCAAGAAAGAGTGGTTCACCGGGGCATCTTTTGATGGAAAATTAGTCTGCCTTGCATCACTAGGCCACGTCCGTGACCCCGACCTCATTTCTAGCAGCGTCCTACCCTTCAACAGCGACCTATCCCCACCAGCCCCTCCGTCCGAATCAGTACCTTCAGGTGACATGCATACCATTGGTAGCACCTTGGCGACCAACTCAGTTGCCCGTCCAATCCAGTGGAAGTACATCCAGGACAATTGGGAGAAGTTAACGACCAAGATGGCGAATCCGGTCGTTCTTGACCGCTTCGTCAAGCTCACACTTTCGAAGTTCACTGATGCCAGGTACATCGACGAAATTGATACCTTTTTCAAAGACAAGGACACAAGCGCCTTTGACCGAACCTTGGAGCAGGTCAAGGACTCCATCCGTGGCCGAGCCGCCTACCGCGAGAGAGATGCTCAGGTCATCAAGGAGTGGTTAAGCGCCAATGGTTATCTCCAGTAGAGAGAATCTTTGTCCAAGGTGTTGTTGATATATCTATGAAACCCATGAAACCCCCTCCATGAGTTGCAGCATTAAACACTATATGAGATGAGACCAATCATAAATCAAAGCTATAATTCATGCAAAAGAATAGTAAATAAAAATTAACACATCATATTGTGCAACTCCATATTGATCCTAACCTAGAGAGTTGAGATTTTCGTAGTACCAGTTGTGCAACATGACAGCTCATCATCAAACTCAGTCTTACTAGTACCTAATTGTAAACTACATTTTCCTTTGGGAGGGAGAATTTAAAAAATCGTGTCCGCCCTAATTAGTCTTCACACTCAACCTCCTTCTACAGGGAATGAGTAATATAGCACTAAGTCAAGAATATGATATTCTCCTCTTCTTTAGTATGACTTAGTTATATAGAAGAAGAGATAAATAAGTCAAATAAGCTTTCTCTTCGCTTTTGAAGACTTCGAAGCTAAGCACATCATTATTATCATTATCATTACCAATGTAGGCTTCTTGAATTATTATTATAGCAGAGAACTCTAACTCTCGTGGCAAAGCGTCTAGCGCCAGCCAACTCGAGCCCCTTTCTTCCCGAGGTCTCTCTAATATAAAGTCTAGAGCCTCTCACATCATATGATCATTATACGCGGTCACACGCAACATTACAGGCAAACACAAAGCAAGCAAGCAAGCAAAAGCATGTATCCTCATAATCTTGGTCTCATTAACCATTTACGCCAACCGACTTCTTTTTTTTGCGCGTCTCGTAAATGCCAACGAACTTTTGGTACAGACAAACAAGGAATCCTGTCCCCCACCAACCCGATGCGCGGTGCGGGAAGAAAGCCGACGCCAGTTTGTGCCCACCCTGTTGTTTCCCTTTTTATAAAGTCAGAGGGCCGATCCAAACGCATTTGGACAGCCCACCAATCCCTTTTTTTGCTTTACAATTATCCTCCTCGTGAATGCATGCGCGGGGCACCGAATGCTAGTGCTTTTAATATCGAAATTATTCCTGTACAACCAGACGGGCAGAGTCTAGATACGGTCGAGTGAGAACGAGGTAGATCAGCGCCATGACTGTCGAGCCAGGAGCCGATCCCGAGAGATGCGGCAATAAAATCGACGAGTACCGGCACGAGACTGAATCCTCTACGACTCTTCAGTTCGTGGTCTTCCACCACGTCCCATCCCGCCGCGGCCACGACCACGACCGCGTCCTCGTCCCTCTCCGTGTCCTCGCCAGCCACCGCGGTAGTCGCCTCGGCCACGTCCTCTCCAACCTCCTTCGCGATCACCTCGCGGTCGGTTGCGCTGAACTTGGTGAAATCCGTCGTTCGCTTCCGCGGGGGCGCGAGACTAAATAATAGTTAGTAATGCTGGACTAGAACATCTCCTTAAAACATTTTAAAGGTATGCTAAGTAAATATCTATTTACTAACCTCCGGTGGGTTCTCGGGCTGTTCATCGGCCCAAGATTGGACATTGCCCGCCGATGCGGGGGTTGCTGTTAGGCCGGTCTCCGTTTCGGTAGGATCTCGAGGGACCTTAACCCACTCTTCCTGGGAAATGGAGGCGCTCAGGTCGTTGTTAGCATCCCATTGAGACTCGGCGGCGGCGTTAGCAGCATCATCACCGACGTCTGCATTCTCAGGGACGCCAGGTGCCGATGTCGGTGTAGATTCGGTGTGACCGTTGGTTAATGGGGCCGTAGCTCCAGTACTGTCGATCTCGGTAAGACCGGCATGGGCAACAGTTGGGTCAGTTCCATTGGCGGTCTCGACAGGAGCTTCCGTAGGTTCAGCGGCTGCCTCAGCAGCAAACAGAGTAGCATGAGCCGCAGACACAGCCTTAACTTGGGCGACTAAGATAATGTTAGTAATAATAGGAGAAGAAGGTATATGAAATACACGAACATGTAGTCTGAAGCTCGTCTCCGCTAACACTGGTAGTCTTTTCTTCGGAACCTTCGATAAGCTTAATCATAGTAGAAACAGCATTCTCGTCTCCCGAATAGACGTTAAGAAGAACACCCTCGAGCGCCATGTTCTCGTCCAGGCCAGCGTCTGCCTCCTCTGTTCTTCGAGCCGCGGCTAGTCGAAGGAACTGCGACAGTACCAGCAAACTATCATGTTGGGTCTTCTTAGAGTCGGCTGCGGCTTGCTCCTTAATCTCGCTAATCGCATCGGCCTTCTCCTTCTCGAATCCCTCCGTCAAGGACTTCTCTAAGCTAGCCTTCTCAGCTGCGATGCGAGTTCGGTATTCCTCGTCCACCTTCTTATACTGGGCAAGTTGTTCCTCGAGCTGGGCAAGTTGAGATTCCAGTTGGGGTTTCTTCAGGCGCTGAGTGCGCTGGTCGGCGTTGATGATTCTAGCATTGACAAGTTCATCTAGTGATTTGTCTTTGTGCTGATCGATTATGATATCGGTCTTGGCAGAATTGGACTAAAGAATGATATAGTCAGATGCAAGCTCCACCAAGTGGTAAGTGATGAGGGGGAGGGGTGAGAGAGGAGGGGAAGACATTTGTATTAAATAACTTACAATCTTTTTGTTTAGGTTACGGATGTTCCTAGTAAAACAAGTTAGTGAGATGTAAAGCGTTAGAATGCGACGATATCACACTGACTTCTGAAGCTCACGGACGTAAGGGCTTTCGGAGCTATCATCCTGACCTTCTTGACCAGCGATAGAGCCAGCCTTCTCGGGCACGGACAGAGCAGATGGGGCTGGAGACTCGGTTCGCTCAGCCTTAGCCTTCTTCTTCTTTGCAGACTTGGACTCGGTCTGAACGAGAGGGTTCTGAACTGCAGAAGAAGGCATAACTAAGGGTAACGGTTTAGTCGTGTGCTCTGCGGATTGGGTAGGTAGGATATTTTTGGGGGGGAGCTTGTTTGCTCAACTTGGCGAAATGTAGGATTCAAGGTTAGTGGGAAAGAGAAGAGAGATGCAAGTTCTTGCGCAAATATATTCTAGAGGAAATTTTTTTTCTTCTTTTTTTGGGAGATTATGGTTCTAGGTAAGGTAACTAGGTGAAGTTGTGAAGTTGTGAAATTAGAGGTTGTGAGGTTGTGGTTTGTGGTAAGATAGGGCGAGTTTGGAGAAATGATGCAGTTGGTGCAGTTTTTGGTTGGACTTGGTTGGTCCTAGTCTTAGTCCTTTGGTCTTTTGGGTTTAAAAGTGGATATTATTTTTCTGCAAGTGCGAGGTTTGGGTCCAAAGCTCGAGATCGGAATTTTTTAACCAGGGTTACCGTTAGCTGCTTACCCTAGACCCGCCCTTTATTCAGGGCCTAACACCCTCTAACCTTCTCCCCTAATCCAACGTCTCATGCAACGGCCCCGACCTAACAACTGGTAAGGCCTGAACCTTAGGTAGCAGCGTTAGGTATGTAGGTACTTTTACCCACCAACGAAACTTGAAGAAACTCCAAGAATTATAGAATCTTTAGTACCTAGTTTAGTTTGTACTGCGCAACGTTTCACATTTTATTTAATTAATGCCTCTTATATCAAGTATTAATCCGTTTCTGTATAGCCGCCCTTGGGTTTCCATGTATCTAGATAACCAGCTTAGGTATGGTCGTGTTCTGTATCTTCAATAAATACCATACTTGAAAGCCTTCTGCCAGCGTGATAGGCAGTAAGCAAGGCTGAGCATACACGATGTATGCGCTATACCCAAACCACCAGCACCAGCGACTTCCACCAAGTCCGACTCGAAGAGGCCTAATGCCTAATGTACCTAATCCACCCATTTGTTACCTCGCGCAAGGCGCGCTTGATCGAGGTGAGACAAGAACCAAAAAGGCGCACTTCAACTATGTCTAGGCTCGGAATACGCCAAACATCCTCATTGGTTGGTTCATGATATATAAAGGCAGGCCACCATAGTTCCGATATTGCTTGGTAAGCTCGTTCTATTTCATCCTTTAAATTTGGCCAGGGTATCCTTTAAGCGCATCAGTAATTCTATACTTTACCTTTACGAAGAAATCGCGTTAAAAACTTACCGCAGTAGCTTTCTTCACGCTCCTAGCACTTATCCCCCTTTCGCCAGCTTGTTTCCCGTCAATAGCCGCCTCCTTCATAAGTCTATAATTTAAATGGTCAATATCTTAATGAAAAAGAATTTGCAATGTCAAAAAAGGGGGGTCAAGCCGTACGTTTGCATGAAGAGTACATAGTCGAGGAATATCTATAGCGATGCGCATCTAATTAGAACGCGTCGTAAACGCGGGTCAAGATAGTAAAAGTAGACCGGGCCAACTTTACCATAACATCGACGTTCTTGCTAACGTTGCAGTTAGAATGCGCTTTCACAATCTTCTTCACCGTCGCCCTCGGGTACATCTTCTGCCCAGGAGCCATTTTAAGTTATATTAAATGAGAAAGACGAGTTAAGGTGTTGTCATGCTTTGCTTATTAGACCAAAGGCGTTTAAACAATAAATTGTAAACTCGACTTGTTGATTTTGAAGATGGCAGCTAATAAAAGCCCCACCAATCGGCATTGACTGACAGCTGTACGCACATTAGAGGTACATAAGTACTGTACGTACCTTGGAAGGAGCTTGGGCCAGATACCCACCCTTGAATTGACTTGCAGCTTCCACACAGGAACATGGGGCAAATCCAACAGCATTATCACGTGGTATTGTCAACATCAATTATTAATCAGTTTAAGTACTTATTATAATTAAGACAACCTCTAATGGTATTATTAAGTAAGGTTATTATTGGCAGGTTGCAAGGTCGTTCAACCAACTAGGTTACAAGTTTTGAAATTAAGTATAGTTAACCAGTAGTTACCTAAGAAAATAACAAATGTTATCGTGGTATTAGGCCAAAGTCTTAAGATTTGGCTTTGTACCTGTGGCTGTGTACACCAAGAGACTTACATTGAGTATAATTGTTACATCAATCAAATAAACAGATATTAATAACAATATATGTTAACTGCAAATAACCCTTAATATAGATATCATATCCTGTCAAGTTAAATATAAAGTCTTAGCTTCGTACAGCTAAGCGTGGTGTATAAAGTCGTAGAAAATTGTAAGGAATAAGACGGACCAAATGCCCAGCCCCTATCCATATAACTACCTAGCTAGATCTGACCACAAAACGAATGATATTAAAATGACAATAATTCCCTAACCACCCCTACATCTTCCCACAATTATGTGCTGTGTGTTTGATTCCTAGAGGGACCCAACCCCATGTGTTAGTCACCTATGTCGTCCGTGTGGGATTAGCAGTTATCATTGAACTCCCAGTTGGTTACGTTGAAACCATTGGGAAAACTAGGTGGGTGGGTATTACCAAGAGGCACCGCACTTGTGAGGGCTAAGGAGTTCTGATTATGATTTTCGTGCTCTTGAGGCCAAAGATTAGAATTGTATGCTGAGACGGAGTCATTATTATATGTCTCCGGTGCACCAAAGCCGTATGAAACGAGAGGCTGAGACTCGACCTCGTCATTTAGCATAAAGCTAGGCATATAAGTCATTGACTGTGTATTCGGAGGTGCCGAAGAGAAGTCGATATTTTGAGAATCGTATGCATACTGCTGTTCGCCATTCGTTTCGCCCATACTACCGTCTGGAGATAAATACCTCGGCGTACTGAGCATACTCACTAGGCGATTGGATTCAAAAGAATTGTCGGTCACATTTTCCGCTAGAATATTAACATATCCGCTCTCTAGTGATTCAGTCATCTGTGCTTCGGGATATGTGTAACCTATGGAGTTTTGTCGGTATTGACGGAAGGCTTTTGGTCGTGCTAGAATTTCCTCTATCCCATGTTGAAATAAATTCATGATCATCCCGGAAAAATACTCCTGGCTCGCGATCGAGTAAGATGTTTCCTGTGCGAGAAGCAAGCTGATATTCCGGGCAATATTCCCTTTGGTGTATTCGTACTGATCATATACTTCGTAATCTTCTGCAACAGGATCAAATCCTATTTCGAGTTAGTTTAGCAATAGTATGGATGGAAAGGGAATGGATAATACTATGATCAGGTATCTTCTCATCGCCTGGGAATAAAGCTTTCCACAAGGGTCCCCATTCTTTAATATTTTGATTGGCTCCCCTACCTCTTAATTGCGAGTCAACTGCTTCTCCAAACCCATCTTCAGGATCACAGTCTAGAGTGTCCGTTCGCGATGATGATCCAGGTGCACAAGGGCATCGTCGATAATGTATCATTAGTTCAGAACTCGACGAAAACTTTTTCCCACACCGAGTGCATCTATCTTCGAAGTGGGTCGATGTTAGGTGCTTCCTGCTAGATTTTAGTTCTCTACAATTTTCTAACGCGACATACAACAAATCCGCTCCCATCTTTCAATCCGTCGGCTTCGTACTGTATATAGTATTTATAGTCTCGAAAGGAATATTGGCATGATGAGAGGTAGAACTCACTTCAACTCCGACATATTGGGAAATGACTTATTGGCGCATTTCTCATAGTCGCGAATATTGAACCTGATGGGGTTGCGCTTCCTATAAGGGCAGCTAAGATCCCATCTAGTCTGATGCTTTTTGTTCTTCTCTTTAACACTTAGACTATTATGTGGAGAAGAGCCGGACTGAGATGTTCCCCCGCCTGTCAGGGTTGATTCGCCAGATGGAGAAACGTTAGATGTGCCAGTCAGAGGTAGGATGGCACGGGTAGACCTGCTACTCTCTCCAGCATCATAAGGGCCGCTTGGAATAGTACGGGCTCCTATATCTTCATTAACTTCGTCTTCCTGTACGCAATGTCCTTCATCTTGTAGTATACTAGCGCACTGCCATTTGACCTGTTCGAAGGCATAGATGACACGAATTGGTCGTACAAGTCGTCGAAGACTTATACCAAACCATGTCGATAAAGCATCGTCCGCTGCTTTCTCAAGGTCTATATCTTCATCGTCAGAGTCCTTATCCGTACTATCACAACTTCCGTAGGGACTAGATGTATCTGCGCTTGACGAGTCATCGAATGGCTTATCAAGTATATCTAAATCTAGGGCATGGCTCATAATCGATGGCTTGCCTGATATTGACATCTGTTGGTTTTGACAAGGTGTGGTGTTGTCGTTCTTGCTGAGTTGTAAAGCCTCTAGAGAAGAAGGATAATGAAACGGATTATCATCAGTTTGAACGCCGACAGTGTTATAGAGCGTAGCTGATTCAATGCCAAGAAGTGTAGCGTCCTGGGGGTCTTTATTTGCCACCTTAGCTGGAGGTAGCTCGGGGCTCGGAGGCGCTGAAGGTAGAAGAGAAGTGTAATGTGTAGAATAAGAAGCTTGATAGCGATGTCGTCTAGAGAACGTCGAATTATATGACTTTGAAACTGAGTTCGATATTGTTCCAGTCGAAGAAAGATCTTCAGCAACATTATGTGTTTTGTGGGAACTGCTGATTGACCGAGACATGCCTATCCTTCTCTCTTATAGAAAGTACGTAACAATGGTTAACTAACAGATGTAGCGCAAGGAAAGATACCGAAAGCCTCAAAATCAATATATCGTAATATTTATTGTTTAGGTGTTGCATTTCGATGGTATTTATGAGTTTATCGTTGATTTAAAGTGAGACCGTAAGATAATTTGAGGAGACCAGTGGCATCATGCCATTGGTTCAGTCAAACCTAACTGAACTACACATCTCCCAGCCAATCCTATGTGATGGCTTCTGCATGCTAAAATGACAGCCATCGAAAATGCTTTTTAAATATTATGTCCGTGTCTGTGGCGCTGCGCCCATTTCGGTTGCGGATATCCAACGGTCTCTTTGGTTCAAACAAAACAATTTGGTTTTTTCACCCCGGGTCAGCCTTCATCAGCCAATGGGATAGTTCTAGGAGCATTCTCCTGAGTTGGGTACCCCTAAGCCAACAATGTGTAAAGTGCACATTATAATTTCTGAAGAAAAAGAAGTCCCATCCCGCCTCTTAGAATTCCCACCGTGCATACTCCGAAGGACTAGCTTAGATCATGTCCGTTGCGGCTTAGAATTTACAAACTATGCCATGATTCTGATACCAAGTAACTCTATCTCTTTTTGAACTGGGGGAGATATCCTCGGGACCCATTTCTCTGCGTTCAGCATTGCTTTAAGTGTATATCTAGACTTACAATTCAACCTTATTACGATTGATAATAAATGATTTTTAAGATAGACCTCCCTATTCAAAACCATATGAACAAGTTGACTTTATCTCATGTATCTCAAAGCAAATGTAATCCACTAGCGGCGAAGGACGTGGTTCAAATGACAAGAGATCGAGAGTGATTTCTTACCAATTCATATAAATCAACTCAGTTCTTCTTTACCTACTTTAAAGGCTTTATTCACGACTACCTCAGACTATAACTATATTTATACTTACAGGATTCTTTATTAATTTTACGATGCCTACGCATCAGCCAGATACTCGAAGCAACAATATGGCGTAAGTGTTCTATAGTACCTTTATTCTATCATAGTAATGGATCTTACCGATAGCTAAATGGGTATTAGCGCTGAGAAGAGCCCTCCAAACACACTAATTGCTAGGCATTTTAGTGATAGAAATTCTGTTCAGGATCGCCTCATTCAAAGAAGCATGGAAACTTGGAAACCCCAAGACGACAAAGCCCGTGTAGAGGAGCTGCTTATACAAATCGATAAATACGATAATACATACAAATCACCAAAGAAATAATCCTCAAGGAATAGGACGTACGAACCAGGCTAAGTGAACACATTTTGATGCAAGGACCTGCTAATAGGCTGGCAAATAGGCTATTGAAATAATATACCTACGTCAATTAAGTAGATCAACGGAAAAGGAATATCTACCTAACATATGTACCTAATGTCATAGAATTATTCCTGTGGTAGTTGGTTGTTCTAGGTGATATACCTAAAACAAAGGATACCCTTAGCATATATATATTCAATATCATGCTCCTTGCCCTACCTTTCGTAATAGTCTTATCTTTCGGTCCCGGTTGAGCTTTCAGCTTGCTTTACGCCAAGGAATAGATACACAACACACCCCGCCGATGTCGCCACCGGGTACACAATATATTATGAGGCTCTGCTCCCCGCTGACGTGTCCTCGCACCAAGTTTACTGATTTAATTTCCTGTTAATGGCATTGGCACAGTGTAAGAAGTTCGCAAGCCTAAGGTCGTAAGCTACGAAGGTCTGAACCATATAGCCTTATTCTTTCCCTAGACCCTGCTGTACCTGCCTATTTCGTTGATATTCTTAGTCCTTATTCTGAAGGCAATCTTCTTTTTCTCTACGATAGCCAATGAGAATCCATGAATCTCACTGATCTACATATTCTGTCAAGGACCATGTCCTCAAGTGCCAGCGTGACACCGGTACACTCCACTGATAGTAACAAATACCATTTAAAAGAATAGGTAACATTCGGGTTCAAGAACTGACGGCATGCTAAGCGATGATATCATTTTCCGATCTGGTGACCCAAGTCCCAAAGCTCAATAACTCGTCTGTATGGACTGTATAAACCCGGGTGGATTAGTTAGGTATACATTGCTTAAACATAAAGTCCTTTATTCATAAAATGAGTGTATGACAAGAGCAATAGATTAGAGATATAACTATAAAGAAAACATAAATGCACAGGCTTAGTTTAAGCCAACTTAATTCAAAAATGGTTTAGAAAGGTTTCCAATTTCAGGAAACCCTGTTTTTATTAATTTATTTCTAGTTTTATCAATTGGACTAGATATAGTCCCTTTAAATCAACTCCTCCTATTTAATAAATTTTATAATTTTACTATTTTTTTTTCTGTCACGAAGCTTGCCAAAGCTAATCAGCTTTAGCTAGCAAACAACGAATGCTTGATAAAAGCGGTGGATGATCATAAAAGATCATCATTTAGTAGTTTCAGGTCTTACTCATGACCTTTGGCATCATCGGAAATATTGGCTTGTTGCAGATTTTCGACGAATTTCATTTGTTGGCCATTGGCGTTGAAGATATGAAGGTTTCCATCCTCGCTCACTTTACGGAACCCTTCAGCACAACAGCTGGAATACTATAGAAATGGTAGGTTAGCAATGATATAAATAATATATTATTTAAATATTTTAAATATAAAAGGTGAGACTAGTATACTTACAAATCCGGTACAACCGCCATTTAGACAGTCACCTCTCGCGCACCAGACGCAACCGGGAACGCAGCAGTAGGTCTCCTCCTGTTGTATTTCAAGCGAAGGCTCTGGAACGGGCCCAGCATGGACAAGAGCTAGAGGACCACTGAGGATGGCGCCGACGAGGCAAGCTACAGTAGAGAACTGCATTGTGAATGAACTTAACTTTTTTGAGTTATTTACGACTTGAGGTATGTAAGATGTAAGTGGATTTATTTTGGAATATGATAGGTAGTTGAGTTTGTTGATAGAAATCCGCACGGGAGAAGATGATCTGGGAAAGGAATAAAATCATCTTCCAAGCAATGTTTATATAGAGCTTCGTAGACGATCCCGTTCTACCTCTGTTATGACACGAGTGAAGAGTTCGAAAACAACTCTATCGTTATACGAATAACTATAGAATCACTTAGGAACAGACTACCGATTCACTTACAAGATCTTTACTTCAATGATCTTAGATAGCTAACTATTCTGGTGTTCAACGTCTTGTGTTGAAACACTAGTGAAATGAGAGAAAACAATTAAATTGTTACATGAAGAAATATAGACCTATTTGAGATGAAAGTATCATATTTACAAGTTCTTTGTTTTAGTTACCTGTGGCCTAGGTTCCGGAATGGGTAGGCAATTGAAATAATTCACTCGTAGATTGATAATTTCTGGCATATTCACTGAAGGTAGATATATTCACTACTTCTAGGCAGTCCTATCGAACGCAGTGTGAATAAATTAAAATTCTACCGGAAGTGACTGATGGAGGGAGATTATTATGAGCGCCAACCTGCGTCTAACAAGCCTAGATACCTACAGCAGCCATCCTAGAAATATTTCTAGTATACTACTGATGATCAAGGTGTAGAATATGAAAATTTTGGAATTAATAATTGCTATCCAAGAAAAAGGGGAACTTGAATGCTGAAGAATGAGACTGGTCCTTCAACTTAGTAATCCCGCTTTCTTAGAAATATCAGCTCCTTAGAAGGAAGCCATGATCTTACCTACAATGTAAAAAGTGTGAATAGAAACATTGAATGGGTAACTTACCTAGCAGATACTTATACGCATATTCAAATACACTGCTTCCCTTCACTCAACTACTCCACAGTTTACAGCACTGTAAGACACTGTACATATTCACATAACTGACAACTCAACCACATCCCACAATCATCTAGACATCCAGACCATCCAGCGAAGAAATAATGTCTTCACAAGTACCAACACCACGACAATTCCTAACATCTCTAATAGAAAGCCTAAACTCAATACCAACCCCCCCAACCCCACAACCCAGCGCAACAAGCGGGAACTCGCTGAAGCTCATCCCGCCGGCGCACCGCCCACTCCTCACCACCTTATACGCGCTATACCCATTAACCCTCCTACCAGCCTTGGACTTACTAGACAGACGTCTCGCATCGCGCATCATCGTTGCGCCGTCTCGTTCTCGGGGAGACACAACAACAACAATATCCACAGCACCCGAAGAAAAGGGGCAACCACCACCCTTCTACATAGTGCGCTCCGCGCAACCGCAGCACCCCCGGCGCGATACCACTTCCGCCTCCGCCCCCGGCCCGCGGTACGTCGTGCGTCTCTCAGCCTGGAACTGCAGCTGCGCCGCCTTCGCCTTTGCCGCGTTTCCGCGGGGCGAGGACCGCTACGCTGTTAGTTCCGCATCCTCCACGCCCCAGCAGATCCGGAAAGACGACAAGGACGACAATGAGGCGCTGGAATGGCAATTCGGAGCTCTAAGCCTTGACGGTACGGAAGGGAGTGGGATCGCCGGAGTGCCATGCTGCAAGCACTTACTAGCGTGCGTGCTGGCTGAGAGGTGGAGCGCTGTGCTTGGCGGGTATGTGGATGAGAGGGTTGTTGGGAAGGAGGAGGCTGCGGGTTTGGTGGTGGATGTTTAAGGAGGAGGTATGCAGGTAGGTAGGTGTATGCTGGAGGGAAATGGGTGGTTTACGATATGATGAATGATGGATGAAGTGACGAGTATCCTACCCCTGGAAAGGACTCATACACGGCTATAATGTAACAGTGTATAAACACCGGCGGATAATCATCACCTATGAGGAAGTAAGGCTTAGGAGATAAAATGATGCCTTCATCAGGGATCAGCCCCTGGTCAAAACTCTATAGATTTGCATGCATGAGGTTATCCCCAACCTCGAAATCGGCTCTCGTCAAAAGAGGATTAATGTACAGGGGTTGCAGTAATTTGGTATTCCGTCTACTCATAAAAGCTCTATTTCTTCTTTTCCTTGTCGCTACTCTTCTCCGTAGTCTCACCCCCGACGCCATTAACGCCGTTCTCCTTCTTCTCCTTATCGTCTTTCCCTGCCGTCGCGGCGGCTTCTTCCTTCGCCTCCTTCTCTTCCTGTTGTTGTCTGTTCTGGATCTTGTTCTCGATCAAGTCGTGGAAAGCCGTGATGGCGCGGATTAAACTACTTAGGTAGATGGCGAGGAGCTGGTCGTTCGTCTTGACGCTCATCGCATAAGATAGTTCGCCCACGTTACCGCTCTTTCCGTCAACACCAGGCTTGGGTGTCGATAGATTAGGTAGGAGGTTGAAAATATCTTGGAGGTTTCCTAAGACTGCATGGTTCACTGGTAATTTGCCGTCCTGAACTTTCTGAAGGTATGCTTGGATGTCACGTAATCGGAGGTGTAGTCCTTGTAGCGATTGTAGCTGGTTTGTGATTCGCGTCGACAGAGTACCGATAGCTACGTCACGAATATCCCGGAGCAGGTGCTCAACACCGATCTCTTCCGCCTCCTCGGCCTCGATGGTGGAAGGTGTATGTACGAAGGTCTTGGATGTGGTTGTGCCGTCCTGTTCGTCTCAGGATTTAGCATTTGATATGTAGTGTCAGTATAGAACTACTTACGTCCTTGATCTCCTCTACCGCAAAATATGCATCTGTCGGAACGCCAGACTCCTTAGGTTGGACGTCAATGATGACTAGTAGAGGGTTTGGTGTATATCTCTTGAAGAGTTCGTTGATCTGAAGGTCGGATGCGCGCAGCTTGGGTCCTGAGTGGTACCAGCCTATTAACTTCTCTCGGGCGTTGACCTTCTTAAACATGTCGTTCATGTTCTCTACATAGTTGTGATCTAAGAACCAAACGGACGGATCATCGCTATCTTCTTCGAATGGAACTATATAGAGCGAATCAAGGTTAATAACGCTGACGTAGGCGATATAGTAAATGGTAGAGAATAATGCGACTGCGACTAACCTGCAAAGCTGTTTGAAACCCGCACATTCTTTCCATCGTTTTGACCCAACAGCACACCGACGACTCGCTTCCGTGTGCCCTTTGCTACCCGATTAAAGTGGTCTACGACAGAGAGGAGGACGAGAGGGGCAACTGTAACATTTTTGTTGACAAAAGAAAGCGTTTCGGCGGTCGTGGCAGGCATCTTGAGGAAAGGGAATAGGGAAATTGAGAAATAAAATAGAATAAGGAAGCTTGGTACTCAAGATAAACGAGCTTGATGGAAGTTGGTAAATAGATAGAAAGGCTGTCGTATGTGAGGCTGCCTTCGCACGAAATCCCGGCAAGCTCAGCTCTTAATTGGGATTAGTGCGAAATATGTTATGCACAGACCCCCACTGACAAGGCTGATGTAATAGGTTGTTTCCACTTGAGCTTTTGAAAGTTTAAGAGAGTTTCAATCTGTGGAATTACATAAACATAATGTGGCTGAAATATATGTGGCTTGTTCTTTTATTCTGTGGCTAGTACATCTTACCCTAGAAGTTCCAATCTCTAATGTTTTCAACATCTTAACAGAGCAATGCCAGCAGCATCTGTTTGCTACTAAGCAGGGAGGGTCATATGAACAATCAGACTAGGAAATCCTTCCGGCTGACTGAGGTATATTCTGTATCATATTCTGACAACTAAGGACGAGAGAGCCTAGGTATCCGCTTGGCCGAGTACTTGGAAAATCACGAGTCGATGCTGGTCGTTGCTTGTTCTACTTCCGTAAAAGCCGTTTGATTGAATGTAACTCCCTAGATGGAATATAGAAGTAGAACGATTATCAAGGCAACAGAAGAATTCATAACAAGAAATATAATGTTCCATTTCATCAACTACGTCTAAGTCTAAGAGAATCTCAAATATCGTCAACCTCGGCGGTCCAACGGAAAAAAGAATAGTAATCCGTCTTTTTACTTAGGTCCGTAGAAAAATAGCCGAACCCCAAGCAATCACCAAGCCAAAGCTTAACCTAAACGGGTAAGATGATGAAGCTACCTCAAGCTACCTCGGTGCGGTAAGCTATGAATTACAGGCAGGTTACTGGTCGCATGCCGCTAAAAAGTAATGATATGCCCCACTCTGTTACTGTCATCCATGGGTATGGGTCCTTCTATGGCTACATGCCTAGGCTGTAGCGGTTGTTCAGTTGTCCCTCTGTCCCTTCAGCCACTGGGGAGCCCCAATTGCCCCGAGCTCCAGTCTACCGATTAAACTTGTACGGGGACGGGGACGGTGAGCGTTTTTTCCTTTAGTCCCCTTTAGCAAGTCTCAATTGAACGTGGCAATCTGTTCCTTGTCCAAAAAATAAAAAAAGTAAAGGTGGTCGTTCCGTCTTCGAGTTATAATTCTTTAAAAAAAAAGAATATCCCGATTTCCGATACCCCCGACCTCGCTGCACGCTGCACGCTGCACGACCACCACCAAAATTCCAGCTTCTAACACCTGGCAACCTTCTTCTGCCAACCTTTAACTTACTACATTATTCTTTATCTTCCTTACCGGAATTTCCGTTGCTTCCTTTCCTTTTTTTATTATTATATCACTCACTCATTCTTTTGTGACTTGACCTGTCGCCTTTCCCTTACCTAGCCTTGGTCTGGCTCAATTGATTCGTTTGAGCTGTTAAAAATGGGTATTATCGACAATGAGATGAAGCGATTGCAGGACGTCGTGTCCGGCTTAGAGGACCGCGTACGACGTCTAGAACAGCGCCAATCCGGTGAAAGTAATGAGAGTGTGCGCATGATTCTCATGGGCCCTCCTGGAGCTGGTATGTTATTAAAAGAAAATCATTTAGGCCGAGGTATTGTTCTTGGTTGAGCTTTGCGCTAACTGCGACTTGACAACTTTTAGGAAAGGGAACGCAAGCGCCTAAGATCAAGGAGAAGTTCTCGTGTTGCCATTTAGTAAGCGCCGACAGATTCTAAAGCGCTATTTTCATGCGAATTTGAATTACTAACAGCCATGAAAAGGCTACCGGCGACATGCTCCGATCCCAAGTCGCCAAGAAGACACCTCTTGGAAAGGAAGCGAAGAAGATCATGGATGCAGGTGGTCTGGTCAGCGATGAGATAGTCATTGGCATGATTAGGGAAGAACTTGACAACAATAAGGAGTGCAAGGGAGGGTACGTTCTTTTTCGCACTTTTGTAGCAATGATTCTTTTTTTTTTTTTTGGCTCGTAGCCAGAACGACGTATCGAATTCCAACATTGAACTTGACTAACCTTGCCCTAGCTTCATCCTTGACGGTTTCCCCCGCACTGTCGCTCAAGCCGAATCGCTCGACAAGATGCTTGCCGACAAGAACCAGAAGCTACAGCACGCGGTCGAGTTACAAATCGACGATGCTCTCCTGGTTGCGCGTATTACCGGTCGTCTAGTCCACCCCGCCTCCGGACGAAGTTATCACAGCACCTTCAACCCCCCGAAGCTGCCTATGACGGACGATATCACCGGCGAGCCCCTGATCCAGCGATCTGACGACAACGCTGATGCGCTGAAGAAGCGTCTGGTTACCTACCACAAGCAGACCTCCCCAGTTGTCGGATACTATAAGAACACTGGTATCTGGAAGGGCGTTGACGCCAGCCAAGAACCTGGCCAGGTTTGGACCAGCCTGTTGAAGATTTTCGACGAGAATAAGAGCCCTAAGAGCGGTGGTATCTTGAGCAAGCTGACTGGCCAATAAACCAGCGGCTACTCTTGTCTTTGCCTTCCGCTCCTATCCTGGTTTCCTAGGATTTGGGTCTAGGAGGTGAGATGTGAGCATGGATATAGGGGTTTCCAACATGAGGCGTCAGGCGATCATCTAGGAAGGTGTCATTATCGGAATGTGATGTAGTGGGAAGAGGCATCTGGAGCCCAGGGCGCCTAAGGAGTAATGATGGGATGGAAGGGGCACCTATGGAAATAACGCGCGACTTGTATCATACGACTTGCATGTACCATGGCATCATGAATAAAGCCTTTTAAAAGACCTCGAATCCCGTGTCTTCATGAATGCTAGTACTAAACTTCAGTTCAACCTGCAGATAGAAAACACGATGTTTTATCAACGTAATATTTCTTCCTATTCTATATTGAACGATAGCCATTTTTTAGAACCGATGACTATCCCTACTCCACAGAAGATCTCGGTATAATGTAATGTTGAGCTTTAGCTTTAACTAGGTAAGGTTGGATGACCAACTGCCTAATTGAGGATAATAACTAATAGCTTATACTTTTTAATAAGACTATAAATGTTAAAGCTCAGCTTGAGAGTAATGTTAATAATGTAACTAGCTGAGGATAGTAGTATCTTTTATTGTTCGAGGTATATGAATTACGAAGTTATATATACATAGGTACATATAGACAAGTAGACGGAAAGTTATTAATATGATAAATATTCGAAAGTAGCAGTCAGTTTCTATATTGTATAGACTACCTATGCATAGCAAATAGTAATACGACTATACTCGTTACCAACTTGAAGCGAAAAGCGGCCCCCCAACCCCATGAGTCACTTAATACTATTACGACATATGTAGGGTTCAGAATAACATCAAATAAGATCGCCTAGAGAGTACCTATATAAGAGAGTATAGCTAGCTACATCATCCAAACCCATAATCCATTGTAGATATCAAAAGAAAAAGAAAGAAAAAAATAACCAAAACCACACCCAGAATATCTTTTCCATAACCAGGAACTTCAACCATGGCCTTAACATTCACCACCTTCGACGTCTTCACCAAGACGCCCTTCCGCGGCAACCCCCTCGGCATCATCAACGTGCCAGCCGACACGCAACTCACCCAGGACCAGAAACAGCTCATCGCGCGCGAGTTAAACCTCTCCGAGACGGTATTCCTGCACGAGCAGACCCCCGCTGATGTCGGCGCCCGCACCGCCCGCATCGACATCTTCACTCCGCTCGCCGAGATCCCCTTCGCCGGCCATCCCACCATCGGCACTGCAAACTACCTCCTGCACCACCACCAACGTCTCGGCGGCAACAACTCCGCCCCCGAGATCCTGTCAACCCGCGCCGGCCCCGTGCCCTTCAAAGCGGCCCCCGACGGAGTGGGGGCCCAGGTCGCCGTCGCGCATAACTTCCACATCCACCACAGCCAGCCGTTCGCCGGGTCTGATTATAGCAAGCACCCCGTCGTCAGCATCGTCAACGGCATGACGGCCATCATGGCGCAGCTCCCAAACCTAGCCGCCCTGGGGAAACAGACGGCGAATCTAGTCGGCGGGGAGAACACGTTTGCGGCGGCGGCCACGCTGGACGAGGGATGGCGCAATGGGCCGGTCGTTACGTATTTCTACGTCGACCTAGGGCGCGCGGCAGACGGGACGCGGAAGCTGCGGACGCGCAATCTCGGGAGTCGCGAGGATCCGGCGACGGGGTCGTCTGCTGCGGGGCTGTGCTCGATGTTGAGTTTGTTGGACGCGGAGGAGGCGACAGGGTCGACGACGCGGACGCGGACGTTTGAAATCACGCAGGGCGTGGAGATGGGGCGGCCGAGCGAGATACGGGTTCGCGTGACGGTGGATGCTGCGGGGACTGGGATCGAGGAGGTTTTGATTTCTGGGGACGCGGTTAAGATTCTGGAGGGGACGGTGCCTATACCGTCTCCTGAGACCAAAGTTAAGCCTGAGTAAAGTAGATGATTGGATGGGCGGATATATACATAATATGGCCTTTGAGCTGGCTTATTACTTGCTATAGCTTTGTCGTGATTATTAGATGAAGTAAATAAGAAGTAGGCCGTATATAAGTCTGTTACTAACGTACCTATTATCTACTATTTCGCCGTGCTACTATTAAATGCTTCAAGAAAGGAGATAGTTAATAGGAAACAAAAGTAACGTTTAAATTTTTGCAAAGGATATCTATCGAGGTAGTAAACCAAACGTAAAGTCTACTTTAATCTGAATAGATATAGTCGTAATATTATGCTATAGGAGGTAGTCGTTCCGCGAGGTGAACCCAACTCTATCGCCAACGAAGCAGCTTTTCAAAAACAAATATGAAAAAAGAAGGTAGTATGATTAGGTATCTTCCATCACCCGTCCGTAAGACGAATTACGTAGCAAACAGCTAGTCCGTCCCTCAACGCCAGACCATCGTTCACGTCGTAATCATACAAAGGAAGCAATAACGAAGATATCAGAGGGAGCGCGCAGTAGTAGTAGTAAAAGTCTTTGACAAAAAATAATAAAAATCCAACGCCTTTCCATTAGGTATTTCCCCCCTTGCCTGCCTTCCTCCTCTTTCCAGAGGACAACAACGCCGATGGAAATGCAGTTTTGACCGAGTTTGTGATAGCCACCTGAACGCCTCGCTATTAACCCGAAGCCTTTGGTACCCGCATCCTCTGCAATTCATTTTTGCTTGTCAGATCACCACCGTAACTACACGTGTAATAAGTTGGCTGAAGTCAAGTTTTACTAGGCGGATCGCCCCTTAGCTGCTCGAGCTGCTGGCGCACTGACGTCCCTTCTGTCTCCCGTTCCTGACATCATCTGCCTCCGGGGCGTGGCTAGGCCCTGCGCAGCACTCCTAGCTCTACCGCGGCGCTCTCTAATCTGCGCTAGCGCTTCCTCGCGCGTCATTGTTGGTGCCAGGGTCGGGTTATTAACATCGAATGATGGGACACGGTTTTGGTTAGTTGGTTCTCGAACGGGAACTGTCGTAGTAGTGGTTACTGTGTAGAAGGCAGCAGTGCTGTGAGGTCGTGTATCCTCCTCTGGTTCCATCTCAGATTTCGGGCGGGCTGCTTCCTCGGCATCTTCTTCCGCGTCTGAGCGATTAGGACCTCCCAGTGGTATGGTCGGGATATCCATCATAGGGTAGTTAGATTCGCTTTGGCGTGGCGCGTTGAGGAGTGAGAGGAGGGAAGTGCGCTCCTGCGCCATCAAGGCAAATGTTGGAGGCTCAGCGGATGGAGTTCGAGAATAAAAAGAATGGGTTGGCGGGGGATCTTTTGGGGTCGTTGGTTCGCAAGGGGAATCCTCCGACTTCTCTATTGTGTGTAGGTCCTGCTGCGAGATGGTCCTGAAGATCCCCTCAGAAGGAACAAAAATAGTCGAACGCCTAAGTTCCTTTCGTTCTCTCGGCGCCTCCTGTTGTACAAGATTCTCTGTCTGAGATCCTGTCTTCTCTAGTGGTAGTAGCTCTCGTTCTCTTTCTTCTACTTGCTCCTGTTCCTGACCTTGGTTGTACCCAGAAGTTCTAGATTTGGTAGAGATAGACTGCTCTACGGATTTGGGCTCCTGGCCTAAAATCATAAGATCTGCCGGGTCCACAATCGTGACTGGTCCAGTCCGTTCTTGACGTGTAGAGGCAGCCAGACTTCTCCGCGAGCGAGACTTTGCGCAGGAGCAGCATCGTAGTTGACACTCAGCCTGCACAAACTCTAGATGCTCTTGAGCTCGGTCGGCTCTTTGCCTCTCCCATTGCCACAGGCGTGTTAGTTCTTCGATTTCCTCTTCACTTGCAGCGGAGGAAAGAATATCGACCGTAGATAGAGAAAAACGCTCCTTCTTAGGTGACGCGAATTCACTGTCCGGATCCTCCGGCGGGAGCGGTAGACGCCCCTCGGCAGCGATCCTGGCAATCTCTTCGCTCTTGGCGGCATCCTTGTAGGCATCGCGCTCTTGCTCGACGAACGCAATGCGTTCGAGAGCTTTCTCTAGTTGCTCTTGTATTTCGGCTAATTGGTAGCGAGATTTAAACGCTTCCTGCTCTCTAGCCTTGCTAAGATCCTTCTCCCTTGCTAGGGACTCTTCTACAGACTTGCAAGAACTTCGCGCAGTTTTGAGATCTTCTTGTAGCTTAACAATAGATGACTGTGTCTTGAAAACCTCCTTGCGCGCGTGTCTAATTTCCTTCTCCCAAATCGTTTTGCTGTGTTGGAGAGTTTCTTTCGCTTGTCCATACTTCTCCTGTTGATTAACCATTAGTGTAAGTACTTTACCAAGGATTAATCGTGCTCTAGCTTTAGTAAACTTACCATGACATCTTCTAATCTTTCGCCTACTTTGCGCTCTCGACCGCGGCTCTCTTCGACTTGTCGTCGTAGGGCCCGAGTCTCATCACGATAGCGGCGCATCTCAGCCTCTGCCTCTTCACGTCCTACCATGGCTCGTTTTAAGGCGGCGTCGGCCGTCTTTCGTTCAAGTTGTCTGGACATTGATGCCGCGCCTCCGGGGCCAAGGTGGGCTAAGTTATTGAATTGGCGGATCTTATCGTGTACGTCGCTATCACGAAGGTGGTCAGACTTCGTGGGAGACGGTGGGACGGCTTCGCGCTGTTGATTAACTTTGTCAGGAGATGATGGCTGGAGTGCCGCACCAGGCGAACCTGGCACGCTAGACGAATTTTCGACGTGAACCATTTGTTTACCCGCTTGCACTTGCGGATTTGTATAATAGGTACAAGATAGATTATGAAATGTTATTCTGAGAAAGATGCGATTATGTGCAGCATTGGGTTTTGAAATCCACCTTAAAGTTGTGGAATGTGTTGAAGATTATTGTGTATGTACTTAGTGAGCAGTGATAAGTGGAGGTGACAACTTAGAAATCTGGTGATAGCGGGTCGCTATGTTTATCCTTAAAGATAAACGCGTTGCCAGGTCAATAGATACGGAGCCACGTGATTACTTGACAGCGATATTTTTAGCCCCATGGATTCCGTGCGCCGACCGTTAGCACTTATAAAATAAATTCTAGTACATAGTTTTTGTTAGTTAATAAACGATCCATATGAGTTGATGTCCACTATGATTGAATTATGAGGTATCTACCTGCTTAAAGTAGTTCACTCACTTTATTTTCCTCTCTTCAACATGAATCCATCATGATGCTATGCGTCGGAACGAACCCGACTTGAAGTCATGTAAGCGCATTTGTTTTTACTAATTGGAAAACAGATCACAAAAATAAGAGCCACTAAACATATTGGGATCAAAAATCTATTATCTTCTCATACAGGTCATTAAACACGACTCAGTTTTGTACGATTTTGTCCGCGCCTTTTCCCCCTCATATCCCTACGTGTACACTTCAACCTTCTCTTCATGAACATCTCGGCAATCAGGAATAAGACAAGAGTTAATAATAAACCAAACAACACGACTGAATCGAAGTCCCACAATCTCGGTGGATAGGACTCGCCCAACGCCGAATACTCTTCCCAAGCGCGAGAATGAGAAGCGAATGTGAATGCCTAAAGTCCAAGCCACATATGCCCATAATACAGCCTCCCCAAGATTACTTGGTAGGCAGACTACTTCCCAACTCGAATACCAGAAACTTCGGTTTGGAAAACTGATGACAGAGGAGAGAGATGCATGGTATCAAAAGAAAGAGATTATGCCGAGAATCGCCCCCTATTCCTATGTTAAGCGTTTTTTTTCTTCCTTCAGTGATATTTCAGTGGTTTGCTTGGCGAGCTATTTCATTGCCTGTTTCCTTGGCCTGAACCTTGCCGGCTCGGAGCAGGTCACCAATCCAGGTGAGCGCTTCGCTTGTAACGACGAGGCCAGCTGAGACGAGTGCCTTGCTAGATGTTACTAAGCCGTCACCTCCAACCTTCTTATACTCGGAGCTATAGATGTCGAAGACATGGTCCTTGGTTTCCAGTCCTTTGCGGACGGGGAAGAAGAAGAGGTTGATACCGTCAGTCCACAGTTCACCGGTCGGTTTCTTTAGGGCGGGAAGACGTTCGTCAATCTTGCTTAGGGCACCCTCGCCGATCTGATCGGCCTTCTTAAGATAAGGAGAAACATATTGATACGGCTTGGAAAGGTACGGAAACACCGGCTTAGCGAAGGATTTGTAGGCAGTATCACCTAGCTCTATCGACTTCTGGCCATAAGGGGTTCCTTTAATGAAGGCAATGCTGTCGTTGACCACCGGATATCCTCTGATGTGCTGCTCCGACGTTAGTTCCGGTCCTATATGAGATTCAGATAGAAGCGCGGTAAGCTTACCGATAAAGTCGCGGATGATGGATGAACCTCGCCGTTGACTTGGGCAGCCATCGTTAGGCTAAGTTACCTAACTAGTAGGAGAGTAGAGAGATAAGAATGTCGAGGAGGAAGGGAAATGGATAGAAGGAGCTCAAGGGCGAGTGTGAACGTAGGTAAGTTGTTGGGTTACAATGATGGTTTGTTTGGGGAGATAGAGGAGGGTGGGTGAAAGAAGGTGAAGGAAGAAACTCAATCAAGGCTTATTCGTTCGTTGGATCAAACGGGATAAGATTGGGTGGGATGAGATGAAATGGTGTAAAGAGAGAGAAGGAGGGAAGTCGATCAAGGTTGAAGAAATCGGCGACTAATAACTTAAAAAGAATAAGTCCGTTAAAAGGTAAAAATGCGGGAAGAAACAGGCATAAGGCATAGTCAGGTGAAATGGGGTGCTTTTAAAACAATAAATAGTCAAGCTTGACGATGTTCTGGCGCGAACATTCTTTTTTTTTTTTTAACATGTGCTTCCCTCCTTTGCCTTACACGTAAGAATGCCTTGACTCTCTTTGGTCCCAGTACAATCAGTTTTTACATAATGTACCTGGCGCCATTTTGTATATGTATTGTACATCCTACATACATACATTACATTACATGGTTATCATACATGGCAGAGTCGCATTATGCCTTCGTGTTGGGTACAGAATTGCCGCCATTCTTTGAGGTCCATTATTAAACGCATTCCACGCTGTTGAACCAATGAAGTCACCAGCGCAGAAACTCCTCTGATGCCGCCGTGTTTCTAGCGGGTCTTCTAGCTATCGAGCTTCAGCAGCTAAGCAGCTAAGCAGCTAAGCAAGCTGTAAGCTTCGGATGCAGTACCTGGATGCTTGCCGTAGATCCGCTGGCGGGTCAAAGTACACGTCGGAGGGGCGATAACATGTGTCACAGGCAAAGATACAAGCTATCTACATACTAATCCCGGTGAACTTACAGGGGGTAAAGAAAAGAATTATGTAGGTATTTGTACAGTACACGTAACGTACCCAGAAGACCTCCCCATGGTCCATAGTCCATTAGCCCCTCCAGCCTACATAATCTTTACCCCTGTCATTTGACATGTGAAAGATTCGGAACTTTTCTTTACCTCTCTCACCTCTACACCACTTATACACCACTAATTCGTACCTATATTCGCATTCGCAATCATTATCCTTGTTCCTATCTATCCGTCTTCTTCGGTTCGCCTATCTTAGATACGCACGCATGCTACGTTAGGTACTCTGTTACATTCCTGTACCTTTTATCGTGAACCAACTTGAGACATCAACTGCCTTATCCTTATAGGACTACATATTACACCGGTATGTAAGGATCTCGGAAAGGCACATTAAGATCTTATTAGCACCGTTCTCTCTTATTGAATGTCTTTTTTAAAAGGTTGCATGTCCCATCCAATCCGATCCGAGTATCTATCATTTTTAAGCACACCGGATGGGAATTACCCTCATATAAAAATCAAGCCAAGACCGATCATAATTTGCATCAAGACACCGTCATATGCAATACTTAGCTTAAATATACCTTCCTACCGTATAACTAACCTAAGTCAATCTACCTTATGTAGCTATTGTGGGCAATTGGCTCGCAATTGATCCTTCGCCGCACTAGGTGAAGAACTCGGCAAGGATAAGTTCATGCTTCGGCGAATGGAAGTGTGGCGGCGGCACGGGCTTGATTTCGAATGGGCCGGTAAGTCCCTCGTCTTGAACGGTCTAACTTAAACCTACTTCTGGCATATGAACTGCATACATATGTAGGTATGTACGAGTTGCAGCCATTTAATTACTAGCCAGACATGTCTAAGCGCCGAGGTATTATTAACTCGCATCTAACATAAACTTCCCTTCCAAGACCTTAGACAAATTTCCGGAGGCGTGCCGTATCCATCGTCTTGGGAACCTTCGATGGTTTCAAATAATATCAAGTCCAGATCCATCTATTACGCCGAGTATGTATCTTTATTACATAGCTATTCGCAAAACTTCAACAACCTCGGTTCATGACGATAGAACGATAATCAAGCCATTCGCCACTTGTCGTCTGAACCACTTAAGACCGAGGAGCTTCATTTGCAAACACCGCCGTACTCATCGGGGGCTATCGGACGATCCAGGGGTTCTTTTGATGGATACCAATGGAACCTGAAGGGTTGCGCAATTCCGATGCTGCATGATAACTCCCTTGTCTCTTTCACGAGATTCTCATTGTTAGTCCATCATAGTCCATTATTAGTACATATGATGCATCTACGGATCCGTAGTATCTGTTGTACTATAAGCCCCACTTCAATTTATATCTCATGGTCCGTCATGTTGATTTTCACATGTCAAAAGCCCCCCGCGAGGCTACGTGCATTCAAACGAGTTTGCGGTCTTACAAATTACCATCCCGCGACGCCACGTCCCGCAAAAAAGGATGCCAAGAACGCGCGTCTATCTATCCGTACTCCTGGGACAGATTCACCAGAAATGATCAACTGTAGGTTCGGAATATATTAACTCCCAAGCCATCTGTGTGTTCATGAAAATATTCCGTAGGTAGTTTCGATATTTCTTGATACGTCCCTATTCGCGACATTGAGATTGTACGTAGTTACTATCAACGAAATTATTATTAACCGTTTAGCAATCCCCTAAACTTGTTTATCAATCACATCAAGACGACTTTTGTCATGTATGGTAGCAAACAACTATCTGTATATGTGGATTTGATTTAGAAATTAGGATCGAGATGACCGGCCAAAAGCTCCGCATGTTAAAGCAGCATTGCCAAAAAGTCAAAATGGATGATGATATCAGCCTCAAGGCTGTCTAATTACAATCGGATTATCTCCATCATACGGTGTTCCTTGGTCTGTAATAAAATATCCCGGTTTTTATTTGGATTTCCTCGCCGGTCTCAAGCCGTGGAAGATTCAAACCGGAGGATTACCTACGGAGTCAACAAGACCGTCGGAATATGAGAACGAACAATGTTGACCATCGACGTCAGAGTCGGAGTATGCTAACTACCTGGTACATGCTCTAGCGCGAACCATATAGCCGGTAAACATGGACTGAACCTCGACCGAAATTTTTAGAAAATGAAATCTAGATACTAAAACTTAATTAGTGATTTCATAGTCCACCGCCATATGTTTAATTTTGACATAATATATCGATGAGTACCTAATCTAAGTTATCTAAATATGAGAATGGGACCATATCATCCGCACGAAGCTTTATCGGCGAGGTTTCACAGCGTCGACCCCTCGCTAGTTCAAATTAAAAGAGCCCAACTATATCCCGTTCGCGTTCGATGTACGACAGAGTCGGTTGCTGACGCAAGATCGTGTTGGGTAACCTAAAGGCTTGTCCGTACCGCTACTTTGGTGTCAATTCTATTAGCAACAGGACCGCTTAAACATCAGGCCAAGATAACTCAGCTAGAGAACCCGTTTATACCAAAGAGCGACATCCAGCCCCTATAATATACAGGCCCTTCGCCACTACTGCAGGCAACTTGACATCCGGGCGCCGTTCTAACTTCCTTTGTCTTCCTGGGGTTTAAGTTACCTAAGAGAACAGGCGATTCCCCTATACCAACATATATATGCCACTGCTATTAAATCCCAATTCGAGTTGCACGGCATACGAACTTCAAAGCTCTCTGCACTCTAACTCGCCCCCGCCCATGCGTAGTACGTGGACCTCGGCGTGTTGTCTACTACCTATGTAGCATCATAGAGTATACAGTCTCTATACGATGTTTGCTATATCACATTAGCGCTCGAATCTAGTCACCAAGGTTTTCAGGATATTATATGTTATCCAGTGATCCTCAAGCTTATAAATATCCTGTTTATGACTCTTACACTTCGTAATGAGTATCGTAATGACTATGTAAACGCCGTTGATCACCTTGAATGGCTATACCGACAACAGTTGTCAATACTGTTGTTCTCGATACTCGCCTTGTCCAGTAAAAATCAGAGAATTGAATATGGTCAACTTTTTGCGAGGCATAGAGATCGAGTATGAATATTTCGGTAACATGCAGGATATGCTATTGCATAATATTAACTTCCCGATTAGAGGATAACGCAACGCGTCGGAACGGAACCTATACGACGATGGATATTATATCAATACGCGGGGTACAGGACAATGATACCGGGAATGCCCGCTGCCGTGTATCATACCTTCGGTGTGGATAGTTGCATGGCAGGCGTCCATCCACGTAGTGCAGGATCGTTACTAATGAGGAATGCGGAGATGACGGTCCGATGTGACGGGAATATGACGGCATATCGAAAAGGACATGAGAAGAGAGGAAACGTCTAGAAAAAAGATCCCGAGTAAGAGGCTTGATATGTGGCCATTCCCCCGTCCTGCGCCGAGTATACGTATCACTTATAGGTAAGCAGTTCTATAACCGCCCTCTCCATTTAAATGTAACAAACATGGTAGGATACATGCGCCATCGTTTATACATATGCTTCTCCACTTGATCAATGGAATCTAATAACGGGGAATGTGTGATGGTGATCGTCAGCGCATAGGTGCTACCTTAACATTGACATACATAATCAGGATTACGAAATAGAACCGGGGAAGAAACAAAATGCACTGCTGGAACTTATAATATATGCGAGGATGTGGCTTGAGGGGGTTCTATTGCCTAGCATTTCCATGATCTTCTTTAAGTATTATATAGGTAAATATGCAGTTACTCCAAGAAAGGTGAAGATTCTATGTCGATCAAGATGATACATTAGTTTCGACTTCCCATGCTGAACTTTAATTGGACTTCAGGAGAGCCCTCCGCGCCACTGAGAAACACAAAAATCCGTCTGCGATGCATTTAACTGTTTTAAGAAGCTGTCGTGGACAATAAGAAAGAGAAAGAAGAGGGGGGAACTCAGCAAACTTGCCTACTACATACTGTGGCGGTGGTTAACCCCAACTCGAATAATCACTCTATAATAGCATTCCTAATTCTATCATACTGCTTATCATAGGTATGCATATAACTCGCGCATTATCAGATCGCCTATAGCAGAGTCGCATCACAGCTACTCCCAATTATATCAAGCCACATAAGACCCATCGTCTCCTTTTAGCCTGAGACAGGGGAGCCAGGGTTGGCATAGCACAACATGAGATCGACATTAGCGAGATCGGGGTTAACGACGACGGATAACCTACGCGTGCTTGCGTGCCTGGCTTAGCCGAGTTGAAACTTATGTATGTATGTATGTATGTATGTATGTATGTATCTCTAAATAGGACGGGCCCGCCGGTCGAAGCTTCGACTGCGACGGTAAAAATGCCACCTACGTAGGCCTTCCCCCCGACACGCCGTCATGTCGCAGTCCGTAGTATGCCCGACGTTCGAAAGGTTCGTCTGGATATACATAAGAAGCCTGGTACCTATGCAACGCTTCTGCTTGTCGCGCACGCCACGCCGCCGACAAGGGCCGGAATTAGAAGGACGCGTTGGAGCCGAGGGGGGCCAAGCTACCGATCAAGATGCTCGCTTGGGTATGTCGACGGCTGCGCAGGGAAGGGAAGCAATCCGCGTTTGTTTGGATACTGGAACGATATAGTACCACGGCGGCGTGAGGTTAAGACAAACATGGGCTGTGATGTACCTGGCCTGATCAAATAGTTAGGTAGTTGTCCGAGTTTGCGTGTTACGGCCAGTTATTTTATATCGCCGAACTTTTAATAAATTGGATCAAGTATGGCTTAAATTAGACATGCTGTAGTATCAGTTATGGACCTGTGAAGATGTGCAGTTATCGAAAAGTATCGTCTTGATGAAATCTTATTTTGGTGCCGTATTCGAGAAACCTTACGTGTTATAGATGTTTTGTAAGTGACGTCCTCTTATTACCTGTGTTACCATATGTATATTGTGGTAGTAAGTTTCTAAATCTAACTCTACTATGGTAGAGGGTAACTAATGATAGTCTCGAAGAATGAAATCTCAATTAAGTCTTTAGTTAAGTCTTATGGAGCTTATATAGAAGATTAAAATATAGCATTTGTTGTCGTCTTAGCTACATACGTTTCGAGATTAGTCCTTCATAGTGGTTATTACTGAATGCTTTAGGTGTTTAAGCATCTAACCCTAACAATAATTAAATCTGGAATAGGTTTCTCGGCCTATGTGATGATCATAATGAGCTATTGTGAGAAGAGTTTAACTGCAATAATAAAAATCGAAAGTCTGATTATAAGTTTCTTAAATCTCTCATCTAACTGTGTTAAAAAGAATTCTAGAAAAAAAGTTTAAACTTATAAGAATTTACTAAATAGTTTCTTCTGACACAATATATACTCATCAAAAATATAGACAGCCCGATATTATAGTTAAAGTGTCACTTTGGATCTTGTAAGCACTATTAGTATCCGTATGTAAAATATTTCACCTAAGAGGCCATATAATGAGTTCTGGATTGGCGTTTTATTGTAGAGAGTGAAGAATCTTCGAATATTATGTATAGAGTCTCATAGACGGCTTAAGTGGACGATATATAAGACTTCAAGTAGTCGTCACTAACAGTAGTTGAGGATAGTTTCGGTTATCCGGCTTCGTCCAGAAGCACTCAATTGTTCTTCTCCTGCGTAAGTTTTTACCAGAACCTCGAAAGATGTATCCGGTCTTTCTAGTTATATCAAATTGGCTCATACCATCTTACTCATGCTATACCACTATACCGAACTCTTAGACGTTTTAATGGACATGAAGTGAGTAGCGTGGCTAATGAAAACCTTTCGCTATATGCTGTATGCTAAGCTAAACTCTTTTCTTCAATGGAAAATTCCTTATGAATTATAAAATTAAGCATCTAGAGTAGACTACAGGGAGAAGAGGTAGACAGTGATGTTTATTACCTACCGAATTGATGGACTTGTAAAAGTTACCCCTATCCTACCACTATGTGTTGGTGTAACTATTACGATCTTTCATAGGCTATGAAAGAGTATTAGGATAGTGACTTGAGCATGAAGTTTCTAGTAATTATTTTCAATTCAAAATTTTATACCGTAAATCCCCTAACTCATTCCTCTATCCTCTCCAGTTTCTATTTCCCTCTAACCAGCGCCAAGTCTATGCACATATGCCTTTTATTATTATTAAACATCCCAGCCATCCAGCAACGAACTTCAGCTCCCTCCCCAACTACGCCACAGTCAACACTGCTCTAAGATGGACATCGCCGCGCTCCAGCTTATCTATCGCCGCCTTGATACCCTCCTCCGTCATAGGAAACGTCTCAGTAATCGGCCTAATATTATGCAGCGCCGCAAACGCCAGCATCTCGCGGTGGGCGTTCCTCGACGCGACGAGAGACCCTTGCACGCCGATGCCCTTAAATACCAGCGGCATGTATGGGATCTCGAGGTTGCCGGAGTCGACGGAAAGGGGGTATATGGCGGAGCCTGGAGCCATGATCGGCAGGATGAGTTCCCAGTTCGGTTGCGCGGACGTTGTGACTAGCAGCCGGTCGATCGGCGTCGATACTTCGAGCTTGTCCTTGCCTTTGATCGAGACGAACTCGTGGGCTCCGAGCTTCATGGCTTGGTCCTTTTTCCTGTCCGAGCCAGATAGAACGATGACGCGGTTTCCCATCTTAGCCGCAAACTGAATCGCTAAGTGGCCGAGGCCGCCTAGTCCGATGACTGTAGTTGGTGGAGTTAGCAGCTATATATTTTAGGGGGTAAAGGGGTTGGATGATGTTCAAAATATTTTAAAAAGGGGTAATAAACCCCTTCCGAAAAGACCTACCACCAACAGTCTCAGTAGGCCGCGTATTATAAGCCTGCAGAACAGCAAACACCGTAGCGCCGGCGCACTGCAGGGGAGCAGCATCGATATCGCTCATGCCCTCCGGGATCTTATGCAGAAACGCCTCGCGGACGATAGCGTGAGAAGCAAAGCTTCCTTGGTCGACCTTATCAGTACCATACACAGCCCGGTCCACGCAGTAAGTCTCGTTCCCCGTCAGACAGTTCCGGCAATTGCCGCAGCTGTCGTGCTGATAACCAAAGCCCACGCGGTCGCCCTTCTTCAGGTGCTTGCTGTTTGGGCCTACGGCCTCAACAATACCGACGCCTTCGTGGCCGAGGATAACGTCATCGTGTAACTGTGGCTTTTATTAGTCATGGTGTGCGTAGATGTGTAGGTGTATGTTTCTACTAACCGAGTGAAGATCTGTTGAGATTTGTTAGTTACTATTGCTCGAAGTGCGTAAGGTGATAGGGGTAAAAGACTTACCAGTACCGCATAATCCAGACGCCGTTATCCTCATTAACACCTTATCGCCAGTGAGGTTTTCTGGCTTGGTGGTAGAGCTCTTAGTGACTCCGGTTTTGGAGCCTTTGTATACTGTGAAGGAAGTCATGTTGGAAAAGGGGGTAGGTGGTAGGTTGCTTAGAGGAATTTTACTTCAGATTTAGATGGTAGAAGGATAGTGATGTTATAATTGAGATTTTTAAGTTGATGATTAAGTTTATGCTCGAGGCCTCGTATTCTTTTATATCTATGCAGGTCAGCCATGTAGTACATAGGCTTCGGTGTCTCAGAACTAGACCGTTGGTATGTGGCTACATAGAAACAAACACTGATTACCATATTTACTGATCATATTTCTAATTCGGCGATAGGTAAAATAAGCGCCCATTTCCCTATTCGGAGATAGGTGAACTATAATATTATTTCTTTCTATTTCTTTTGTTTATAATTATGCTTTGCTAAGCTATTAATGCTGTCGTATATTCATTCCCTTAAAGTTTACGATAGGTTATAATTCTCCTCCGGCTTCTCCTTTAGGACTCGGGATACGAGGGGTTGATCTATTTCCAGCCTACCAACTCTTAGTAATGCCCCGCATCAATAGATAAGATTGATCTTTTCAACCTTATTGATCCTTCCCGAATCTCAAAGTAACCTGATGTCATATTTAACCATGTTTATATTGAATTCGTATATTTGGTTGCTTAACTAATCTACATGCATCGCGGTACATTATTCATACGTAATTAATAGCTGTTTACCCTTTATATCTAATGGACTCTTCAACATCGTCGGCAAGTTGATTACTGGGTAGTTTGAGAAATCATTACTAACAGGAAGACTGGTTGAATGGGTGCTCATTACGCAATTAACCAAATGATTGTGCTAAGCATGTGTGGTACGCGAGATGAGTGTGATTTGTAGTTTATAATTGGCTACCATATAATTGCTTTTGTTGAAAATTTCCACCAACGCCTGACAGATACAGAGTGAAATATACATACATGGATGTTAAAAGAGGAATAGATAAGCCAAACTGGCATCATTTCACAACTATCCTTCCATGCGCCAGGAGCACCTCGCATCTCATATGATAGTCGAAAGGGGTTAAAGAAATACGGTAACAGAAGTAGCATCTTGAAACCCGAATGCCTCTATGCAGGCATTATATTAAACTTGCACTTGTTGTTACCCGTATATCCATTGGGCGCCAGGGTCGCCATTCATTGTCGGCCAAGACAATGTTCCGAAGTTCCCAAAATCTTGATTGTCGAAAGTGAACGCCATGTCAATAGACCCAGCCAGCATGCCCTGCATAGGTAACCCTATTCCATCGTTATAACCCCAATCACCAACCGCTGTTAGTGCTTCGGCGGGGTTACTGTCGGTGAGCGCCTCGTCACTTGTAGCCTCCCAACTACTGGAACCTAGAGGCGTCTCGTCCGCTTTCTGCGGCGAATCTTGGCTGTCTTGTGTCTGCTTGATAAGTATATCGGCCTGTGCGATGACATCGCGTGTAATAGCAGCCGCACTGGCCGCAGTTTTGATGCTCCTTTTCCAGATATCAAAGACACCTATGGCGAGGTCGACAGCGCTTCTTGCCTCCGGGGTTGTCGAACTTTGTGGATAGGCAATCACATAGCCGATAAGTGACATGGCGGCGTTCCACTGCCACTGGGATGCCTCATGCCAGCCGGTAAGAATAGACGTCGATGAGAGTACTTGATGCAGGATACGTGTCAGTGCTATGGCGTGACGGGCGCAGTCTGCAGCTATATTGTCAGCAACTGGAGTAGGCCCTGCTGCCGGACCAAAACGGACAAAGGGACGGAATAGGTTTATGCATAGATTGTGATACATAAGTTCCAATAGAAGACGTTGCCGCTGGAGCCAGAGCGATGCGAACGGTTCGATTTCGAGAGGGGTGGAGTCGGTTGAAAAAGAAACGCCATTTTCTCCCCGTTTAGTTTTAAGGGCATCGGGGACGCCTTTCACCCAGTCCTCTATTCGGTCTATGTAAGGACCTAGAAACTCCGCATGGGATTCGATGATCTTTGGGTCATTCCGTGAAGCCTGGTCGTCGAAGATACTAGTAGTGCCGAGCTGTTTCTTATAGAAGGCCGTGTAAGTTATTCGGATCATCCTGAAGAGCTTAACGTTTTCGAGGTTGAAAGTCAGCCATGTAGCATCTTCTCCGAGCGGAGCAAACACGGAGCCCGACAGCGTTGCGCATTCCCGGTCATCACCTGGTAAGCTACAAGCAGTATCGGAATGATCTAGTTGGAACGGACGGCCTAGTTTCATGCTGATTTTACTATCGAAGACATAAAGAGTCCACAATAAGCGCTTTCGCATTTCTTGCTCCCGCTTCGACATATCTTCTGGCGGTTCTAGATGAAGGCCAAGCATATACGCCGTCCGCACGGCCAGCGTACAGGTGCTATCTGACATATTTGGGAAAGATGCAGAGCACAAATATACAGAGGATAATAGGTGGCACTGCAGCGTTAATATAGTAGGATTCTCTAGGTCGTTGGTTAATAACCTCTGGCAGCGCTGATAATACAACCGGCTACCAGCGATAATATCGTTGATGTCGTCCTCGAGGCCTGGCTGTAGCGCTGTGTTATATTGCATACATAAGGCAATGACTATGTCGACAAGAGCCGACGGCTTTCGCTCTCTTCCTGATGTTGTCCATAAGGATTGGTAATGCTCCTTAAATGTACCCTCATCTAAAACTAGTAGTGAGGTGTGGAGAGATTGCCAGAAGAGACTTATGAAATATTCTTCCTGAGTTGGAGTTAAATAGCTCCCTGCGATGGCAGGTTCTCCTGTTACGGTAGTAGTCGGCCGACTACTCTGATCTTTCGTAGAGGTTTGGCTTGTCCCATCGAATAGCTTCACTGGGTCTGGTAACATGCGATCGATAGGTCGGGCTTGTTGAAGAGAAGTATTCAAGAAAGTGTTCATGCGCCTGATAAAGTAGAATAACGATGAGGCACCATACCACGTTCCCTGCTGGGAGCGGGTGGTAGGAATATGTACTCCTTCTCTTGACTTCTTCCCCTCCGGACTATTTCCATGTTCCCCTGGAGAATCGAAGGCTTCAGGTCCCTCGGAGCCAGAAGGCCCGGACGAGGCGAGACTCGATGGCGTTTGAGGCGTGTTAATGCCAGTGCCGGGCTTTATAGCCTTACGCTCGTTCTCAAGTTCCCGTTCTAATTCTCTCACCCGGTTTTCTAGGCGCTCAATTTTCCGATAGGCATGAGGAAGAGTACGAACAGGTATCTCCCCTTGACTGCACTGGCCATTTCTCTTCCGGCAATTCGAGCAAGGGAGATGATTATCACATTTAATACGATGTACACGGCACCAATCACATGCCCGAGCTACTTGACTCCGCTTCTGTCGAGGTTTGGGGGGTTGCGGCTCCGGAGTTAGCGGAGCGCTCGATTCGGTAGCACCCGCTGCCGTTCCAACGAATGTAGTGAACATTGGCTTGTCAGATTGATTTTTAAAATAGATTGATGTAAAACTTAAGATGAAGACGCGAGAATTGAAACTTTGTAGGTAACACAACAGCAAGGAATTAGGGGCGAATTTGAAAAGGCGAACTAAACTTTAAGGCGGGGACGAAATAACGGAGAACGGGAAACGATTAACAATGGCAGTTACTCACTCAGCAACCAGGATGTCAAGGCCGGTACTACGTAATAACCTAGAACCTCCTAGATTATATAATACAAAAAGGGGCTAATATTTAACCGCCATTACAACGGCTTGCTAATTTTGAATGTTTTAAAAAGTTTTAGTTAAATGTTTCGCCTTGTCAACTTTACACTAGTTAATTGATACCTAAGTACCTTTGACAAGTACCTAAAACCCTACTAGGATGCATACTTCATACCGTCTATATTTAGGATATTTAGGTACATCAGATATCTTAAGTACCTTCTACATATATAAAGTAACTTCGGTACATAACCTAAGACATATACAACAATAAGCTTGGAATTTCAAGTACCCCATGCATAAAGAAATATCACGGGATTTCCACGTGACGCTTTGAGTCTAAATCATCTCCAAAGAATGTTGACTACCTACATGCGTCGATTAGGCCATAATTGTAATCAACAACATCAAGCTGAATCAAAAGACTTGATACCTATTATACGGGCAAGAATATATGACGCTATGATTCTCTCCCTATATCATATATATCATTAGGAATCATATGACTTTCCAGCTTTATTTCACCATAGTTAAAGACTCAAGATTTTCTGCTGTTGCTATTGCAGCTAATATATTTTCCTTTTCCAATAAACGTACATGTGTATAAGAAGAAGATAAAAACTAACTAATATATGAGTGAATTCGGACATGACAAAAAATGATTCCGTTGTACAGCTTTGAGTTGAAATATAAGCGACAAACATCATTCCAGCGCTTGGAACTTTCTGACGCAGTCGTTCTGCATTTTCGATATTACAACAAAAGAGCCATGACGCCGTTGCATATGCCGATACCTCATATCACATATCATAAAAGAAAACTCCTCCAAAGTGCCACCTACCAACCCCGGCCGCGAGGCTGAATCCTCCGCATTACCTCTATAATATACATCTATATGCTGCCCATAACACCATCTAGTTCTATCCTCTACAAGCCAATGGATTTTTTAGAATTCAATGCTCGCTTGCTTATATAAATCAATTTTTTCCCACGCTCGAACGCCCAAACTGGAAACTTGGGAACGCAAAACCGCAAATATCGCACAGTTTCAGAGGGTCCATAAACCACTCCGGCGTTTCCCTAACGGGTAGACGATGAGTGCGCTTAGGAAAAGGCCGACAGTAATGCCGATGGCAATTTGGATCATCGATGCGGCGACGTTGAACACTATCGTATCAAGGGGTTGGCCTTGTTGAATCGTGACCTAGTTAGGTTGTTAGCCAACAATTCAAAAAGGCGATTAAAAGTGTACGCTAATACTCACAGTACTGGTACCGTTAACGACTTCCGTCGAATTATTTAGTTCATTTGCTGTGCTCAACCCGCTCAAAAGGCTTCCAGTCGCTGCCAAGCCACTGGGTACCTGTACGAAGATAGCGGGCAAAAGAGCGGCAGCCGCCACGCCATGCCTTAATCTTGAATATAAGTTCGCAAGGACACCGACAGTGAAGGCACCTAGTGTGTTGGCTATTTGTGGGCTGGCCGCAAATTTGGGGCTGCTGAAGAAGTTCACAATGTATCCGGCAAAAGCAATAACAACCATAACAGGCATCTGCTTCCATTTTGCCTGGTTGACGAAGGCAAGACACATAGTAAAGATTGGTACAAAGAAAAATCGGTAGTAAGTAGGTATAGGGTTTGGACAGGTCGTTGCCGAAGTAGCTTTAGGATCCATCAAACCGTAAAGGGCGGTTCCAACAGTAATGCCAAAACCGAGGAACAGCGAATAGATGATGGCATAAACCATACGAATGGAGCCAGGTACCAAAGCGCGGGATTGAAGTTCAAGAGCAGAGCACACTATAAAAATATGTTAGTCATAACAACCTCGGAACAATACCAAAGTTATGTACTTACAGACAAACCACCCAGGGAGAATTAATGCGATAGAACTCTGGGCCAAGGATGAGAAACAAAATAACGTCCCGCCCGCAATACTGCCAAATGCTCTACTCAGGAAACTGGTTAATACAGCGGCGGTGATCTCGAAAACATTGTTGTAAAGATCGGATCGAGGCGCGACGATAATCTGTAGAGTACCAACAAGACATCCCAGGAAGAAGCAGATGGGAAGGTCGATTAACTGCCCTTCAAAGGCAAACGGCGCAACTGACGCACTTGCCAACCCGAATACTAGGACTCTTAGCCACGGATGAAATTTATCCTTGGTCTCCATAACCGTCGTTAGGGATTCGATAGCCTCTTCCAGGTCAATCTTGTCGTGGAGAACCAGCTTGTATATCTCATGAACATCCCTGAGTTTTCCGAGATCGATCCCCTGATTAGTGCGAACGATTTTCACCTCGGTGGTATGTGTCGAGCGGTCATCAAAGGAAATGATCATGCAGCCGGGTAAGTAAAGGAACTGGCCATCAATCTCAAGCACCCTAGCTGTCATCCTCAGATACTCTTCAAGACGGTGAGTCGGTGCTCCATAAAGCATAAGCGCTTTACACATCTTAATGATATACTTTTGCCGAGTTAGTGTTTCCGCAATGTGCATCGTGATACGAATCTCATCTTCCATCCGTGGTCGACCGAAACTCAATATTCGTCCGCTCGGGCTACGCCGGTGCTTGGGTCGTTTTGGCTTTGTGGGGGTATTGTTGTTATTGTTGCTGCTGTTGTTATTATTCGACCCTGGCCCACTAACACCAGCACTGGCGAGACGCGCAGATGCTTCGACCAGGTTGGCTAAAGTATCTTGCGAGCGATTCTTTTCATACCATTTCCGCCGGTTAGGTGTTGTAGCACCAGAAGAACCCGGTGTGGTAAATTCACTACCATGCTCAGACTTCCGGCTAGGTGGATAATTAAGAGAAAGGCCGGAGTCAGCAGGCTTATACAGCTTCAGGAGATTTGACAGAACACTGGAGCGATATTCGGTCGGCGGAGTCACGTATAACTCATGTTTCGGTCCGTCGATGGGCGTAATTTGGCCAGAACTCAAGGCGGTACTAGTGGTCGCTGTATGATATACTCCATTGTTATGCCTTCGTGTGTGCGATCGGACAAGATTATACGCTTCCTTTTTCACGGACCGTTGTTCTTCAGAGGCAGTCTTGTGTGCGGCGTCACCATTGGCGATATCTGTAGCATTCATAGGAAAGTCGTCCAGAGCTATACCGGGAAATCCTGGGAGCATATCAACACCGCCGCTGTTCACTGTTTCGGCATCCGAGTCCAGGGAGGTTCTCGTCGACCCTGGGGCAGATCGCGAGCCTAGTAGGGTTGCAGCAATCTGCTGGGCACGCTCCTGTGCTGCGTGGGCAGACATCACTTTCTCGGAAGCAGGATCATCGTCATCGATAGACTCAGGAATACTAGTCACCGAGTTATAGGAATTCCCACGCAAAACAGAAGGCCTAGGCCGCGGAGGTAGCGATAAAACATCATTGCGTGATTGTGTCGCCGAAAAACCAGATAAATCAAAAAAAGATGGTGGCTCGACTCCGGCGACACTATTAAAGCGTACTCGGCCTTTCTCTTTTCTCGTTCCGGCGTTAAGGGCATTGATAGCATTTATGGCAGTGAGGTCGGGCGATGCTGGACTCTGAGGCTCCTCGGTAGGAGGAGTCGAGGTCGCACTGGCATCATTGCGAGGTGTCCCGGGGTCTTTGTCCATGCCGAGAGGATTAGTGGCTCTGAAAGGTAGAAAAAAAACTAACGAGGGACCAGGCGTAGAACGAAAATAAACAAAATTTAGTTGATCAGACAATGGAAAAGGTTATTCGATGAGTGTGAGTGTGAGTGTTGCGAAGGAACACGGCGGACGGGTCCTAGCGAAACTCTACGTTGTTTTATTTAGGGCGAAGGTATGGCGAAGCGAAAAAGACGAGTACGGGGTTGAGCTAAGGTTGGTTGGTTTATGTTTAGTAAACTTAGAATGTTAAAATGTTAGAATGTTAGAATAGGGTTGGTAAAATTCGAGTTATCCGATGCAATGCCCTGGATGTACAATCGGTACAATCGGAAAAGTCCTATACACAATGGTATACACAATGGGTTGAAGAGAAGCGAACGATGAAGTATGATCAAAGAATAAGTCGAACCATTATTGGGAGGTTAGGTTACGACAAAAGGGTTCGCAATGTCCAAGGCGTCAAGGCGTTTCTCTACGCTTAACAGAACAAAGCGAAGGCACGAGAAGGGCGGTCCAGAATTTAATAAACTGGGGACAAGCTCCAGACCCGATACAGATCTTCAAGCTCGGGGGTGGCTCGTTGCTCAAACTAGTGTCGTGACGCGCAACATGAATGTAGTGTGTATTACACAATGCGGTAATGTACAATTCAAGATATATACGGGTGTTTATACCGATGTGGATATGTCCACATCAGTACATATAAATTCACAAATGGTAATAGTAAATGGTGTAAATGGCGACAACCGGGTGGGCCACACCTGACATAGATACACACCCAACACCAGACCCAAACAAGGAGGGATGAAGGATGAAGGGTGAAGGGTGAAGGGTGATAACGGGCCGATGTAAAAAATGCTCGCTGTTTAGTAGAGTTGGATTATCATGTCGCTTGGGATTGGACGTTGATAGAACTACCGGCAGACGAGGTTCATATGGATAACGTGCAATGAACAACGAGAAGAACAAGGTTGCTCATGAAGTGCGACCCTTCAGTGGCTAGCTAGAAACAGCCAGGCCAGCCAGCCAAGGAGTTCGAAAGGGCGACACCCCCCAGTCCCCTTCCATTTTCCTTATCTCGTTGGGGGGGGACTCCACCGTCTCTATTGTCCACCGTTCGAAGCGGGTTAGAAGGGGGAAGAGGAAAATTTAGAAAAAAAAGAAGGACCTGGCGATTATGGGCGATCCAGACCTCAATCGAGAGGGACCCAACGTCTGGTTGGGTGGAGCGGCAAGGAATACTAATGGCTCGTAATGTTGTGTCCTGACGTCGACGTTGGTACCGTATGTAAAACGAAGCAAGTAAAAAAAAAAAAAAAAAAAAAAAAGTACGGTATAAAGTGGGACAGGATGATGCTGTAAGAACTGAAATGCACGGATTGTTGTGTTTCCCAGCTTCCATGCATTTACCATTTACCATTTACCATTTATCAATCATCTTGTCATCTTGGACATCTGAGCTGCGATGTGGATCAGTGGATCATGTCTGATTCCTTTTTAGAGTGGCCAAGGATGAGCTTTGTCCAGCATCTTTATAATTCTACAGACGGATTGGCCGATCAATTCCTTGGCTCCTGTATGTATATATTAAGTATAGACGACCTCCCGGTAGTGAAACAGGGCACGGCAGAGCCGCAGGGGCAGTATTCTGCAGAAGCGCTGCAAAGAAGGTGTAGAGGTGCAGAGGTGCAGAAGGGGGAGGGGGAATTTAGAAATTTGTTGTAAATTTCACATGCGCGGGATGGTGCTTCAAATGCCGTTTTAGATGATTGGAGCGGTTCGTGATTCGTGGGAACCACCACAAAAGCCATAATGGGAAATGTCAAGGAAAAAAAAACGTTTATGACGCCTGCGGCTGTCAACGGCTCCAGCGGGACGAGGTTTTTACATTGCTACCTTGACCCGCCTGCCAAGTCCGATTTCGTGCCTTCCTTTTTATAGTATCTATCCGCTCTATGAATTGATGGCTGCGCTTAACGAAGTTTTGGTGTTTATTTTTTTTTTCTCCCTCTTCTTTCCTTCTTGTTTCTTTAATTTTCCACGCTAGCTCCTTGCTTTAGCCATGGGTACCAGGACTAAAAGGGCCGGAATACTACATCAGGATTAGTGTTATATTAGTGCTGATCATTCTCAAAGAGCGTACATAAGATCCATTTATTTTGCAAACCGCTCTTGACTACATACATACATTCATATATCTATACAATGTATAATGTAACAAATTAGTATGGTATGTATCTCCAGCTGATCGCTGATAAGGATACATCGTTTGCTCATATAGCGTCAATCGACGCTCGATGATATCACATCGAGAATTCATTCCAACCAATTCTCTCCCCTCATCCCCCTCAACTACCTCAACTTACCATCAACTGCACCGCCCCCTCCCTACTCGTATTCCGTGATCGTAACTCATACATTCTACTTTACGTACCTACATATATACAATATACCTCACATACCTTACATAGCCGGTTAAGCACACGCAAGTAATTGATCTCCCCTCCGTGTGGTTGTATACAGCTTCCTCGATCCTACGGATATGACAAAGATTTATTCGGCCTGTTCAACCGTAGCAGCCCATCATGGTGATACTAAGGTCCGATCATTTCCTCAGACGTCTTAGTCGTGGAGCGATATATTAGACACGACGCTTAGATAGACAGATAGATCACCCTACCAGCCCGCCAGCCCGCCAGCCTACATAACCATGTCTACTTTGTCTACCTTGTCTACATACATGTCTATAATACATGTCTATAATACATGTCTATAATACAACAACACCCGGGTTCCGCGACCACCCTTGTGTTCCGGGAACCTGCGATGTCAATCAGCCGCCAAGTGCATCGCGGCCTGCATAACATCGTGTGCTATAGAGATGATTAACTGATCCTTGCCATGTGCATAATCGGCTTGCGCCGCCCAGTCGGTCGACGCCAATTAAGTCAGGCTACACCGCGGCCGATCACTACCGACGGATGTAGCGCAATAGCTAGACCCGGAGCTTCACAACATTGTTCAATCGGCGCTACGTCTGTAGTGTAGTCTTTATGCGATCGTTTTCTGGAGACTCAAGACTGGAGACTAGAGGCTGGAGACTGGAGTAGAAGGTCTTTGGTTTACTACACGTGTAGACCTTAGATTCTTTAGTATCATCTTATCTTCTTAGTTCAGCCACCTTAAGCTCTAGCATCTTGCGGCGTCTGTGCGGACTGGGCAAACTCCACCGTCTAGACCTCGTGGACCCTGCTTCCGAGTCAGACTTGTTGGTTTGTGTCTCGCGTTTCTGTTTTTAGACCCGTAACCGGATCAGCTCGCAACCTAAGCGCTAGATTGCTGGGTTCTTGCCCAATGGCGCCAGGGTTCCTCAACTATCTTGGGCCGAAACAACCTCATGTCTTGCGAAGCCGATGAGAAAAAAGCAAGCCCGATTGACCGTATCTCATCAAATCTCATCACCCGGGGGATCTATTGCATTGCCACATCACCATCGCTCCGTTTAAGCCTAACTCCGTTCTTGCTGAGTTCGTCACCTCTCCCGCCCCTGTCTGTGCCTTTAATTTGATGAAATTGGTATAATATACGGGAGTACGCTTGCCGGTGAGCTTCGTCTCCGCCTCATCCACTGTCCCAATAACGGGTAAGGTGCCCAAGCGGACACACACCAATATTTCTTCATTCCACATCCCCATTGGATGAACCTTTCCGTGAAGAAGAATGTCTCTTTGCGCGCTTCGTCCAAAGGGCTCTGAGAACCCCCAACAGCCTTGGTTGGCCGTGATCCTGGCACTATCATGCGGCTATCTAGTTAAAATCCAAGTTGCCAATCCGCGAAGTCAAACGCGTGGGATGAGTGTCAATACCTATGAAAGCCACTTTCCATGGCACAGCATACTACTGGCCCCCAAGTTGTAAGACTCCACCCGACGAGACCGGAAAGAATTTAAACAGGGGCGCGTTTTGACATTGGTGCGGCCTTCGCGAGTGCTGAGTGTCCATAATCAGCTATCACAATAACGGTCAATACAGTTGCAGGTGATAGCTCAACAGCCAAAATAGTTGAAAGGAACGACACTTTCCGGTAGCTTTAGACGAGAAGATTCTTAACATTTCGAAGATCGACAATGCGCAACGTTTGGGCAATGCCTACTTAGGTAGTTATCTAGATGTGGCGCCGGATCCAGGAATGAAGTTGAGTGACGAAACGTAGCAACGTGGTAACCTAGGGTGTGTGTATGAGTAAGGCACATAAAAAGACACCCCTCCCCAGCAGAAACTCTAGGCACGCTGCAAGTCATTCTTGGCTCCTATGGCAAATGCAATTCCCGGCGAGAAGTTTCCTGCGAAATATAATATTCGGTTGCCGTACCTGACTCGCATCGAGAAGCGAATATTGCCAGCATACCACTAGAATTGACATGAAACCTGTGCTCAACGTTACTCTACAGAGGCGAAATGACGAGCCCGGCGACCAAACGAAATGGGAAACTGGATGCGGTGTCCGTCACTACAGTAATTCTACGAAGATCTCCATGCGAGATCAGTCTTGCCACGTATATCGTAGCTTGCCGCTACTTGCTTCTTCAATGCCCCTGAGCATATGGAGGTAGTCAAGAATAAATTGGTTGGACGGCTGCATATGGATAATTCTCGAATCGCACAAGGGAGTATTACGAAAGATTGGTTATGCATCCGGACGTGTACCTTAGAATGCTTTACGGACTAAGTTGATTGGAAGTAGTCCGCCGTCCTACATAGGGAAGCAACCCTATGTAACAGCTAGTACCATATAATTACTAACCGGGGTTATAAGGCCATAGAACCAAGGATATCCGCGGACTGGGTGGGTTATAGAAGGAAGACTATAGATAAGGAGACAAACTCTAGCCAGCGAGAGGATAATTATAGGACACCTTCATTATGACCGCAAACTCAATACAGTCGATCTGTTGTGTCACCGCCACTTCACACAAATAAAC